AGGTAAAACACAAACGCAGAGAGGAGTTGGCCTTTGTGGTGTGTAGATTCTAAATTATTTGTGTGTGTGTGTGTGTGTGTGTGTGTGTGTGTGTGTGTGTGTGTGTGTGTGTGTGTGTGTGTGTGTGTGAAGAAACCAGGAAAAGATGTCGAGTCTATAATCCATGATATCGCCTCTCAAAAAGAAAGGGAGAAGGTACAAGAGCCTGAACAGTAAGTGAACTCCACTTTCTCTTGTTAGAAACTTGGAAAAGTACGGGATAGGATTAGGGCCACTAACAATAAAAATTAATAAATAAATATAATTCTGACTTTATTCTTGGGATAATGTTTTTTTTTCTCTCAAATGTTGGTTTGTCGGACTTCTATACTTTGGTTCGGTGTATTTTTTTTACAACTGGTCTCCAAGTGTTGCTTTTAACAACACAATAGGGAGTCGTGAGAGGCATTCCCAAGGATCTTCCTTGGGCCTTCTCTTATTTTCAGTTTTCATTTTCCATCTACCTTTGTGTTCTTTGTGCTCTGTGCATTTATGTGCGGATGACACAAATGTATATATCTCAAAACCCAGCTTAATTGAAACTCAAGAGTCACTCAGATTTAACTTGAACTGTTGTCAAAAACATGGAAAAGTCCGAGAGGATTGGGGCCAAAAATAAAAATAAAAATAATTATTTCTTTAATTTCAGAATTCTGACTTTTTTCTCAGTCAAAAGTCAGAATTGATTTTCTTTTGTTTTTCTAGCACTAATCCTCTTCCAATAGAGGTTATTTATCCCATTTTTTTCCTTCTTAAAATTTCAGTTACACGCCAGAGAGAGCCCGCTCCCGTAGTCCCATCAGACAGTCTCTGAGTCCTCACTCCCACAGTCCCAGTTTTACCTCCTGCAGCTCAGCCCACAGCCCTCAGGGAGCAGCATTCAGGGGTCCAGACAGAGGAACCAATGGGATGAGTCCTCACAGAGGCTCATGGGATTGGCCTTCGCATCAGAGGAGAGGTGAGGACGAAAGGGAGCGGGATGCTCCTTGGAGGAATGGAGGTACCGTGGATGACAATCGGCCTAATGGACGGCCAGCTGACCGCCGTAAGAGCTACCAGAAACACTCAGGTCATCTCAGCTTGAGATCGTCAGATGAACGAGGAGGCTGTGATGGCACGAGGAGCAGCAGAGACTGGCACCTGCGAGACAGCCCCAAAGGTTTCTCCTTCAACTCCTACAGGAACATGGAAGACGACTTCTACACGGAACATGCGTACAAGTCGGACAAGCTGCTCAGAAGCTCCCACCAGAGACACGAGGTCAAGTCACGGAGGAGGGATGCAGGGGATTACCACGCTAGGTCCAGACATTGTGAGTTTGAGAAAAGTGAGGAGCTGTTGGGCAGACCGGCAGAAGAGAGGAGGCAAAGCTCCCCGAGCAGAGACAGGAGCAGAAACACAAGCAGGAGACACGCAGCTGCAGAGAAACATGAGAGAGAAAACATTACTGAACCTGCTGTGAGTCACTTTTGTTCATTTTGACACATCTGCTGTAAATTTATCACATCTTTTTTAAACAAAGTCTCCTTCTATCTCTTAGAATTGCCTGTCAAAGGAAAAATCTGATTCACCTCAGTGGAGCCAAAAGCCTAAAGAGGAATGTCACAAAGACACTGTGAGTGGGAACGTTGAAAATCTGCATCAAACAAGGGGAAAATTCCGGTTTTTAACGCAACTGTAATTTTTTCTCAACAGTTTTTCAAACACTTTTAACCTACACGTCAACAGTAAGCATGGCTACTACATGCTACAAGGATTTGCAGTAAATGATGTTTCTGATTTGTGTCTTTTAGGAGGAGAAGGCAGAGAACGAAGACACGGATGAGGAGTGCTGGTATCCCAAGAATATGGAGGAACTGGTCACTGTGGATGAAGTGGGAGGAGAAGATGACTCCATTATTGAGCCGGACCTCTCTGAGCTTGAGGAGTTTGCATCCAGCCCCAAAGAGTCTGCAGCTGAAGGCGCAAAAGACAAGCAGGATGCATCATTAACGGCATCCTTGGAAGAGAAGAAGACATCTGAGGAGACGTCTGAGCAGGAGAAATCCAGTGGGGATGCAGGAGGCCAAGCGTCAACATTTACAGCTGATAAAACAGACGATCAGATACCTGAATCCAACACTGAGGAGGAGAAATTGCATCCAGTAGATTCTGAGTGTTCCACCTCCAACCTTGGTGGCTTCCCCAGTGAGGAGTTCATGGAGACACACCTGGAAAACTGCAATCAGCCTTCTGAAGAACCAGCAGAAGACCATGTTGGTTTATCAGGAGAAAACAACACCCAAGAAGAAAAAGCAGCAGAAACGATCCACAATGGAGTTGAATCAAAGGTCTGCGGTCTAAAAACAGGTTTGTGCCGCACAAATCTCCTCACGAGTATTATTTGAGGATTCGTAGTTTACTGGATGAATCTTATCAGTGTTACATTTCCCAGATTTATGTTACTTAGACAATTTAAGAGATATTGATCTGAAATCTGGTCATGGTGGTAGCTGAAAGTCATCTAGAACACGTCCTCATTTGTAAATTGGAGATTCTGGATAACATTATTTGACCAAAGGACGGTAACTCAGTCTTTACTTAACATAAGGCCATCCAGACTTTGGCATGAAAGGTGGCAGACACCGGGGCTTTCACTCAGGAAATTCTATGGCTTTTGTTAAAAGGACATCCAAAAGGCTCACTTAGTTGGGTATTTGAAACTCATTTTCTTATTTTATGGAAACAGAAAAGATTTTTTTATTTGAATAGGTTTGTCCATTTTTACTTTTAATGTTAAAGCATCTATTTTTCACAGAGATTGAAGCTCCATCACCATCTCTGGAGCAAGACAAAGCTGTCAGTGAACACAGCATCCCATTGGGTAAGCATCTCATACATTATTTATTTATTATAAATGCAATTGTAAACAAAAATCCTAAAAGAATGTGTCCCTTCAAAATTTATTTAGTTATTTATTTAGTCCAATTGTTAGCAGACTCAACTAATCCTGTTTAAATTTTGAGTGACTGGATTTTGTGGTTTTGTAAATTTAACTTCATAGATTCAAAATGTTGCACAATAAAGTGAAAGTATAGACATACATTCTTATTTATTGCATGTGTATGTGTGTGTGTGTTTGTATGTTTATTAGTAGAATATGATATGAATCACCAGACAAATTTTAATGAAACTCCCAGCAACTGGTTACCTTATGGAGTCTAGTTTAGCAGTGTCTAACCTTGGTCCTCAGAGGACACCATCCAGCATATTTACAGGTGTATTTCCTTCAACACACCTGCTTTTAATTAGTGAGTGATTAACAAGCTTCTGTGGAGTTTGAAGAGATGCTGAACAGGAGATTGAACCATTGAAACAAATGACTAAAATAGGCTGGATGTCCGTGAGAGCCCATACTGGACACCAGTTCAAGTTCAAGGCAGCTTCAAAGAACGATCAAACTTAGCAGGACCAGAAATTGCTCCAATTCAGTGACTTCTGCAGTTTTAAGCATGATCACAGGCCCAATCCCAAAACTTGCACTTCCACCCTTGTGCCCTTCAATTACACGTTCCCGACCAGGGGCGCGAGTGCGCAGGGTCTCCAGATTCTCAAGTGAGGAAGGTAAACACGCTCCTTTTGCATCCTTGATCAACACTTGTCCCAAGTCCACATCGATTCGGACTTCGGGCAAGGGTATTACCCACAATCCATTGCTGCATGGTGATTTTGAGAAGGAGGCGCGTCTCAAGTGCCTTTTCTAAAATTATTTATTTTTAAAGGAAAGAAGTTCTTTTTAAGACGGTTAATGATATTTATTCATGCTCTGAATGACTTAGACTAAGATTTAAAGGACAGTAACGAATGTAAATTTAGTAAAATAATTGTTTGAAAAGTTTTTACAAAAGGTTTTTTTTAAAGTAAAGCAGACAGCAACCGGCATCCCATCATGTGTTGCGGTCGATGACGCAATGCTCCCTGTCCCAATCATAGGTCCCAATTAGATACACATATGTACTCAAAGCCTTACTGTGCACTTCCTCTAAGTGCACTTCGCAGATGGCCATGGGACTCGGTGAGAGTATTGGGCTTGGGTCTTAGAACCTCTTCATAGGTTCCAGACAACCTGATGCATCAGCACGCTGATTGGCTGGAATGACTCAGCATTGTGCAGGTTGAGAATTACCCCCTGAAGTGTATAATCGTCAGGTTTAAATGGCACACTGAGCACAGCCCAACAGCAACCATAGATCATAGCACACATCACCTGCAGTGTGCTATGATCACAGGTGTGTGTGTGTGTGTGTGTGTGTGTGTGTGTGTGTGTGTGTGTGTGTGTGTGTGTGTGTGTGTGTGTGTGTGTGTGTGTGTGTGTGTGTGTGTGTGTGTGTGTGTGTGTGTGTGTGTGTGTGTGCAGCACACACAAGCTTCTAGGGAAGTGAACACTGGGAACTTGTTTTAGTTGTGGTTTTGTTTGTTGCTACTTCTTATCTGATTACTGTTTTGTTTTGTTTAATTTACCTGCAATCAAAAGCCAAATAAATTATGAGTAGAGGAAGTTCACTTTGTGTTTTTAAAAGAAATGGTCAATTTAAAAAATATTTACAATAAATCTGTTGGAACCATTATAATTTGTAGTTAATAACTAGGAATCTTCCCACAATTCATCCTGCACTTTTGTCTGGAGTTGTTTGACAATGTAATGTTAGATCCAAATAATAAGACAACTATAAATATAAAAAATGACCAAAAAAGGAAAATGAAATGTGTATTTACAGTTACCACAGAAGGTTGCATGATGCTGAGCTCTCCTCTGAGGGCTGAAAACTGAATATTTTTGGATCTTTTTTCTAATAGGAGTGGAGTTTATTGTGCCAAAAGCGGGGTTCTACTGCAAACTCTGTGGACTGTTCTACACCAGTGAGGACACGGCCAAAGCCACTCACTGCCGCAGCACCGTCCACTACAGAAACCTGCAGGTACAGCATCCTTACAGTGGTGTGACGATTTATCACATTGTGAAAGTGTGCAAAAATAATCTATTTGGCAACAGATGCCATAGCCATGTTAAATCAAAACAGACTAATAATTTATATATAAAGGAGCAATATATTCTACAGTCAATCAAAAAACAGTCTGAAGTGTCAGTCAAGTTGAAAGGAAGGTTACACTGAAACAGATTTCCTTCTCAGCTGAGTGGGGGATTTGTCAGTTTTTCTCCTTTGAAAAAAATCTAAAGAGGGATGCAGTCACTGTTTACAATCTGTGAACCTGTGAGGTGGCGTTGAGATAACTCTGCAGCACCGGTGTCGGTACAAGATCTGCTCGGGTGCAAGATCGGCTCGGGGTCTGCTGATGACGTCAAAGTACGGCAAACCCACTCGGACAAAATACAGTACACATCTATACTGTTGGAAAGAATTGAGCAGTTTCGTTATTAAAATGTTTCTTAAGATGTAAGTTTGTGTTTATAATGGTATTTGTAAAATAAAACATTATATTGTATTCATAATGTTGAACTCCTCTTTGAGCACATCCCTTGAAGGATCATAGGTATTAGCAACACCTGTGAAATTGTATTTGCAGGAAAGAAGTGTGTCCCGTTTATTGAAGTATTTTGTGTTTAGAGTTTTTGACGTCTTGTCCATGCGTAGTTCAGGTACGCTCATAGCTGCTAGCCAAAACTCTGGAGTTAAAAGTTTTCTGGCTTTACTAAAATACCTGTCTGTACTTATTTGATTGATGGTAGTTTTACTTTCTATTGACTCCAAATGAAATCATTTGGCACGTTTCTAATTCATAATTTGTATTAATGTAATCGGTGATATTAGCATTAGCATTCCTATGGGTTTTTCCACATATATTAGCATTGCGCTAACCACTCGCTGCTAAATTGCAGCCTTTGCGATTAGAAAATCTCCTTTTGTCACATCGCAATTTAACTGCACATGCAGTTAATCGTTCAGCCCTAATAAACATGCAGCTCTATGCTAAAAGTGTATTTTCAAAGAGGTAATGATGGATTTCTTTGTAAAAGTTGTCCATCTTTCCAACAGAAATATTTGCCTGGACCAACGTAACGTGATACCAACGTAACGTGATAACAACGTAACGTGATTACATAATTCCGTAAGGTTCATGTTCAGCCAATCAACTACTTTGACGTCATCGGCAGTCGACGGACCCCGAGCCGATCTTGCACCCGAGCAGATCTTGTACCGACAACGGGATTTGTAATTCTACACCGGCCAGCAAAAAGCTCCAAAGTTGTTCTTAGAGGTCCTTCACTGAGAAATCATTTATTACTCATTATTTTTGAAAGTGATCAGTCACTCTGACTTTAACATGCATGCTGAATGTGAAAATTGTGTCCCACACCTATTTCCTGCATTAGCTTCTGATAGAAAAAGGTTGGTGAAACGCTAGGATTTGAAAAGCCTGACAGATCTACATCACACGGACTCACCCACCTTGGCTCGCGACGGGGAAGGCTGTTGTTGGTTCATCGTCCATGCAGGAAACAACAGAGTGTGTCTCAGCTAGTAGAAGCTAACCGTTAGTATTAGCAACTCCACCACACGGCAGAGAGTCACGTTGCTGTTATCCAGTCTGAGGCAAAATGTCCAAATATCAGGAAATGAGACTCAAATCCTGTTGTCTCAAGCTACTTTCTTCTCTGGCTGAATTACTCATGCTTAAACAGGTGCAAAAGAGCATTTTTTCCACAGGACACAACTTACAAGGCATTCATTCCTACTAGAGACCACTGTAAATGTTTTAAAAATATGAGTGAAGGACCTCTTTAAAGAACCAACACCAGAAAAGAGAAGCGACCCAGAAGTTATTTTTTGTACCCCTAAAAAGCCACGGCATCTTTTTGTTTTACTCTAATATCGGGCGAAGAATGCTGGATGTTCACATTGAGCTAACAATGAAGTAGAAACATAGTCGGCTCAAAAAATATGTCAAGCTAATTTTTCAATTACCAACAACTCAATAATGAGTCAATTGCATGTTTAAATACATATTGAAATTTATATTTTTTTTCACAGAAATATCTGTCCCAGCTGGCAGAAGAGAGTCTGATGGGTGTGTTTGCTGAACCCTCTGCTGCTCAGTGACACCAGCTTTCACCTCTGGCACCAAAGGAAGGATCTGTGCAAGTGTATGTAAAACTCCGGAAAACGGAAAATGTGACGAATGGAAGCTTGAAGTTGTGGAGAACTACTTGGATTTTGTTCAGGGGGAATGCCAAGAGGTCTTGAATTGTTCTGTTTTGTACATACTTGAAGTAAAATGTATAGCAAGATTGAGTTATTTAACAGCTTTTTAAATTCTATCTTCACTAAATTATTTTATGGAATTCAGTGAGAAAAAATATTTATAAGTTTTTAAGAGAACATTTTTAATTTCATTTGAACCAATTTGAACTGAAATAAAAATTGCACTGTTGTATTTTAAATTAAAAGTGAAATACGTGTTTATTATTATATAGAGTAAATGCAAAGAGCTGCTGCAGTACAACTGATAAAAACAGCCTACTTTGGCCAACATGTTTTGTATACCTTTTTTTTAGAGTATGCAGCACGAACCCAACCGAATGTTGCAATATGAGTTTTGCACAAAAAAACGTGCAACATCTTAATACACATGTAAAATAGCATTGTGCTCTGGGTTTGCCCCTACCTGTAGTTGGTATTGTATTTATAGATTGTTGTCTGGGTGAACACCAGTGTGTTAGCTTGTTACTGAGTTAAATTTACTCAAGGGGTTTCTCCACCAAACCCAGAGCTTACATTCTGTTTCCAACACCTAGAACTCTAGCTCTGGCATCAAAAGTCCTGTCGTCTCAAAACCATTACTTAGGAGATGAACAACTGATGATTGCTTAAAGCTGCTATAACAAATCTGCAAACAAGCTAGTTTTTGAACGCAAACACGGTCACGAAACACTCACCCCTCCTGTTGGGTATCTTCCCTGAGATGCTTCTGTCGGAACCAGAAACCTGCAATTCCAGAGGAAATGAGATGGTGCTAAACACCAGTCGTCATTTTCTAGGTCTGAACATCTTTTGTTGTCTGTGACTTCAAATGGTGTTTTTTTTTTTTTTGGGACTCTGGTAGTTTGTCCTAAAGCTGAAGTGGTAGCAGTCGGCTGTTTCTCCTTCTCTAATGTAATTGAGCCGTGAACCTCCCACACCAATGGTGTTGTGTTGCTAAATACGTGAGTGCGTAATGAAGAGGACCCAAGGAAGTGTGCTAGACCGACAACCGGATGGTCCAATAGTTGCTTTCAGTCTGAAACATATTGGCAGAGGTTTATAGACGAATGCAAGAGAACCAGTTTATTCAATTATTTCATTTTGTTATCTCCACAATATATTATAGCTATACTATATTAGAACATTGTTAAGAAGATGCTTTTTTACAAACAGGAACACAGTTAAAGCAGGTCAGGACAGTTCCCACAGCTGTCTTCAAAGATGTTTTTAATTAATTCAAAAGCATGATTTGAAACACTGTTTATAAATCTCGTCAGCTCTTTTGATCTATGGTGTTTATAGATCCTACTTAAAGGTGTTCTAGAATTCAAATATGTATTTACCTTGCTGTTGTTGAATATAAGCAGCTTGGGCTGTCCAAAAAGTCTGTGCTGTTTCTGACCTGCTTTCCTAAAACTAATAATTTTGTAATGGCCTCGGAGAAATGTTCCTTCTAAGAAAAGTTGCGATAATGCATCACTTGCATAGACCCCCCCCCCCCCCCCACACACACACACACACACACACACGCCACACACCCCCACACCCCACCCCCGAAGCATGCATGTCCCAACCTACTTCAGCATTAGCGATATATAAAGTTGGTGGCAATAAAGCTAACCACCTGAGCTACTGCAAAGTCCTTATTTGACAAGAGGAAAACAGCAAAGAAGAATGTTGGAGCACGTTGTAACGTTCCAAGGTGTACTGGGAATATTCTGAAAACACGGCTGCACTCAGAGTATAGCCTCAGGTAGCGTCATAAAGCAGTTGGAGTAAACCGGACAATCAGCTTTTGTAACATTCATGTCCTGTGTTTCCATTGAAGGGCTTTATTATGGGGTTGTGTTTTGCGATTTCTTAGGGCTTTTGGGCCGTTTTCAGCCCCAACAATATTTCATATAGAGGCTCAAAGACCAGTTTTCATACATGAAAAAAATGTATGCTAAAACCCTTGCAAAGCATCAGGCTGTTCTGTTCCAACAGAGTTTAATAAATAGCAATCACAGATTGATAAAGAGTGTTCATGTACAGAGAATGTTGTTTAAAATGTTGTTTATTAAATAGACAGCAACGGAAGTTGTGTTGGGCCAGTTGTAGTAGCATTGGAACCTCTGATGGAAAATTACTTTTACAGAGTATTGCTGATATACATTAGCAAACTTACTTCAGTACTTTTTTGTAATGTCATCAGAGATCCAAGTAGTTGTGAAGATAATGTCTGTACTTGTTAAAAAAAACATCAGATAAATCCAAGTGCATGGCTCGAATAACATTTTGAAATGGTTAGGGTTAAGTTTTAAATAATCATTTGGCTTTTATTCAAAATGAAAGTGCAAAATTAATAGTTTCAAAGACTTGAACAAGAAAGAGAATAAATAAGATTTGCAATAAATGTTTACTGATAACGATTTGATGTTTGTGACATTTTTCCTTTTTTGTTTACTTAAGTGAAAACTTTGTCAAAATGACTAAAATTATTTCTTAATTATGTTGTGTTTTGTTGCAGCCTGAGCTCTTGAGAGAATTGTATTTTCTTAGTTAAAAAAACACATTCTCAGGTTTGTTGCTGAAATATATCTCATTGTGAAAATGACGTTTATAACATATGTGTAACTGTGACTTTAAGGCTCCTGTTGTTTTTAATTATCTTGATGATTGTGATTTTAAATATTTCTCTGCCAGGATTAAAAATTTGCTTTCATGTGAAAATGGAAAAAAAATATTACTCTTTAGAATTTTTTTTTTGGACTGAAGATTATCCCAGCCTTATGTGTCATCTTGTTGGACACATTTCATACCCTAAAGGCCTTAAACTGGACCACTATGTTAAACATGACAAGTTTCATGTCACAGTAATCTGTTACAAGAGCATCAGGTCAGATTATGGTTTTACTGTGAATCCTGATCCTGTGAAATTATGTTGAAATAAACCTTGATGAAGTATCATATTTCAAGCTTTGATTTGTTATAATTATGATGTTTATGGTTAACAGCTTATGAATACTCCAACATTCTAGGCTCAATATTGCACTCTAATCAGCTATTAATCCAAAACAACTGCAAAGGGTTCCTGAGCCTTTAGATGGTCTCTCAGTCTGAGCTGAGCTACTGAAATAAAAGTGTTTTTGCACAATTTTCTAAGTTTTACAGTTACACCTGTGTGTTTTGTGTGCTTTGTGTTTTAGAATGTTACACATCTTGTGAAAGAGCTCCCTCAAGTGTTGATAAAAGGAAAAGGGTGTGAGAATGTGTGGATATATCGGCAAGCTACTGGAATTTAAATTTTATTGGATTATCCACTATAATGAATAGTACTTACAGTCTACTTTTGGAAGTTTATTTTCAGTTTAAACGTTGTACATTTTATTTTATTTAAAGGAAAATCAGGAACAAATGCCCAAAATGCCTGATTTAGTGCAGGAAGAATGATGCAATTTTACATCATGCATAGTTGTGTTGATTTCTGATTAGGTCTTTAATTACCCATTGAGTTGTGTTATTGTTTGAATGCTGCAAAGCATTCAAACTATAGTGATCCTGTTTCTCTTTATAGTCGGTTAGTTTACTATTCTGCTTCCGCATATTTTTGGCATTTAACTACTTCCACAATTCTTCAACTATTTACACAATTTTGAAATCAAAACGTTCAGCTCGTTCAGCTTATGCCGGCAATGACTTTTGGTTTTAAAATATTTTACACTTTTGAGATATTCAGCTTTTTCTGTGATTTTTGGTCCCATTGAAATGAATGGGATTGCTCAAATTTCAGCTAAATCCTATCACTTTTTTGAACTCTTACTCTTATAGTTTAACTTTAATCTAGATACTTCATTCAAGTTTCCACAAACTCACAAGACTTTCAGCTATTGCTGTTGTTTTTATTTATTTATTTATTCATTTTTTATATCTATTACAGTTTTTCTAAAATCACAGGTAGAAGTTGAGGTACGGCTTGGGATTTTCAGAAAAAATCACAAAAATTATAATGGGGAAAGAAAGGAGAGGTGACCGATCCCTTGCTCTATTTCTGGCATTGTCCCGAGAGAACCGTGAGTCCAATTGAAATGAGACGCATGCTGGCTTACAGCTTACGAATATACCTTCGTTTTTAGCTATAATTCGTGAATGTACTCCAAACATTGTGGTCGTACAGATCATTTCTTTGAGAATTTTTAAATAAAAAAAAAATGCTTCCCACCACTCTAAACTGAAAATTCCGCACTCTAACATTTGACCTTCACGTTCACCCAGACCCTTTGGAGTACTGAAACAAATTATATCTCAACAAGTAGGAATTTTTGTCAGTTTTTCAGAATGGGTTTCATTTTATCTGTAAGTGTTATGGTTCTTTCTCTACAAGCCTCAAAAGGAGAAGAGAACCTGATTCTGTCTCATTGAACCCATGTTAAAGGAACAGAGATTTTCTCAGCTAAAATGTTCTCGTCATAGCTTCTAGAAAATTCATGGTAGGCACATAAAATTTCACACAGATGACTATCAAAGCCTTCTTCCGCTCACGCATTTTGAGTTTTTCCAATAAGTGTGGCGGTTTTTGAATGGCAATGAGACGTGTCAGAGGTCTGAAATGACATCTGAGCAGCCGAGCTCTGTTAAATGCATGATTTATGAAATCTTGAAAAAAAAATTCCACCGACCACATCTTTTATAGTACACTAATGATTTTCTCAAATTTAGTAGGTTTATTGTCAGCTTCAAAGTGATGTCTTCAGTTTTGCTGTTGGCATTACATTTTTTGTGCTATAAGCCGCAGAAGGAGGACTGTGCCAGCATTCCTCCATTTGAATCCCTTTTAAAAAAGCACCTGTGGCCCGACAGACAGCTGAAATGTTCTCCTCATATCTTCTAAGACTTCACACACATGACCACCAAAGCCTTCTGCCGCCCACGCTTTTTGAATTTTTGAAATCGGTGCAGTACTTTTCGAATGGTGATGAGAAGTTTGACAGGTCCAATTTCACTTCTGAAGGACAGATTTAAAGGCTTCTCTCATTAACAGGAGTACGGCTGCATGTCTCCAACAGCTGGGGGAAAAGGCGGGAAGACGGTGCTTCTCTCTGATTGGTTGAGACTGTTCAACCATTTTCTGTCCAAGCAGGATTGAGCACCCACACATATGATACATCAAATCGACCAGCTTGGTCTCAGGAATCTTGTATTCAGTTTTAAATGTGTTATCTGTCACCATGGTAACACAAGTGCATAAGGATATCCCCAAACAAGTCTCACTGAATGTGAAAAGCCTAATGTTGAGCCTATAACATACTTCTGTTTCTTATCTTTCTGAGCTCTATACACTTAAAACTAGCAGCATAGCTGACATTTTAACACTAGTCAGAAGGCAGGAACCGCCCCCTCCTCCTTTGCTGCTCTCTCATTGGCTGAGAGTTTTCAATCGTCTTATGCCAAATAGGAAATATGCACCCACACATATGATAAATCAATTCAACCTGCTTGGTCCCAGGAGTCTTGTATTAACTTGATATTGTGTTCTGCGTTACCATGGCAATGTGCTCAGCAACAACATTTAAAAAAATTTCAGACACAACTGTATCAACATACTTTTAAATATAGAAATGTTATTCAAAGTTTAAAAGAGTCATGTGACGTTGTACATTGCTTCATTAAAGCAGACTCCTGTCATCTGTTACCATGGCAACACAAGGCACTACAAATCACTTTAACCAAGTCTCATAGGAATGAATATAAAAAGCTGAATATTGAGCCAATAACAGACTTCTGTTTTTGAACTTTTTGAGCTATCTCTACTTAAAACTAGAAACAAGTTAAATTTGATTGACCGTCAGAAGGTGGGAAAGTGCCCCGCTCCCTCCCAGCTCCCTGATTGGTTGAGAGAAGTCAATCATCTTCTGGCTAAATGGACTTACACACCCACACGTGAGACATCAAATCGATCGGCTTGGCCTAAGGAATCCATCCATCCACATATAAATCCATACATGATTCTATCTATCCATCCATCCATCCATTCATCCATCCAGTAAACCATCTAACATCCATCCAACAGTCCATTTATCATTTCATTCATCAAACCATTCATCAATTCCATACTAAGTCTGAACATATGTTAATCTATCAGTTTCAGATATCAGTAAATGTTTCTAAATTCACAGTTCAGCCAATTGTAAAAATTGACCTATTAAACTATTCTCATTCAAATGCCAACTGTTTAAACATTTCAACTTTTGAGTTTTTAATCAATGTTCAAAGATTTAAGTTTTCTGCTGTTTAGCATTTTTTTATCCATTCTCCACCTATATTCTGAGCTTTATTACACTTGTTGGTGATTTTTTTTCTAAATCTTTAAATACATTCAGCTCATTTTGACAGTTTAGCTTAGTTTCAGCATCACTTCAGCTATTCAGCAGCTTCAGCAATCAGTTTTCAAATCTAGCATATGCTGCTAATTTCACAGTTCAGCTAAATGTAAATATTAAACTGTTAAGCTTGTCCTACTGAAATCACATGTGTTTATACATTTTAGCTGTCCCGATTTTTATATAATGTTCACAGATTTCCGTTTTCTGCTGTTTAGGATTATTTTTCTCTATTATTCACTTACTTTTTGTGCTTTACTTGGTTGGTGCTTTTTGCTTCTAAATCTTTCAATACATTCAGCTCATTTTGACAGTTTTGCTTAGTTTCAGCTTCAGTTCAGCTATTAAGCTGATTCAGCTAACAGTTTAAGCCAGGGGTGCCCAATCCTGGTCCTCGAGGGCCGGTATGCAGCTTGTTTTAGTTTTAACTCTCCTTCAACACACCTGATTTCAATCAGTGGGTGATTAACAAGCTTCTGCAGAGCCTGATGAGATGCTGCACAGGTGATTCAACCAGTTAATCAAGCGTGTTGGTGCAGAAAAACCACAAAACCTGCTGGATACTGGCCCTCCAGGACCAGGATTGGGCACCCCTGGTTTAAGCTATCCAGCATTCAAACAGCATTTCTGCAAGAAATGCAATTTATCTAGTTTACCTTTGTGTTCGTGTTTAAGGTCACTGGGGGCTGGTGGTATTTGAGTGAGAGGCAGGATATACCCTGGACAGGTCACCTGTCCATCATAGGGCCAAAAGACCCATTCACTCACACATTTTAGTCACCTCATTCTTTAATTTGTAATTTAAAGTTGTTGTTGTTTTTGCAAACTTTGGTAATGCCCATTTTTTCTAAATCCATAGTCTAAATACACAGTCCCTTTTTATTTGACTGGTTTGTTTACTGTCTTACTTTGAGGGTGTTCATTTTTACAGTCTGATTATTCAAGATTATAGATATGATTTTGTGTAAAAATAATAATTTTATTAATCATTAATTTTCCTTCATATCGTCTTAAATAAATGTTTGTAACAAGATCAAGATATATATTTTGTTATTGAGTAAAATTATGTCATTCAAGTTCAAGAGAGGAAAGATGCAGATCTGCAGTATCACCGATAGGGGCAGCACTTTATATAGTGCTGAACATCATGGAACTTGCCAGAAAGATGCAAAAATTTCCATGTTGCATTTTCATTGGCTGGATGCGGATCAGCCCCCTTCCGCAGCCAATGAGATTCGAAAAACCCTGGACTACGTGACTGCGTTGCTGGGTAAGTAGAACAAAAACAACGGCGTTGGGGTCGGAGTTTGAAGCTTGGTCAGACCATAGACTGTACATACGGATTCAGACAATTCAGACGGACGGTAAGGGAGATTAACACGTTCTGTTTTATTAATGTTGTTAGAAATTTAATATTCGTGCCAATTTCGTAAAATCTCGCTCGCGCAGCCAAATAACCGTGGTTTTACCTTTTGCTAACCTTTCCCAACGGAAAAGTTAGCGATGCATAATAGCAGCTACATAAAACGTAAAGGCTACAATGCAATTTGCAACTCTATATAGCTAGCTTAAGCTATTGTTTATCAACAGTGCGACTGAATGGAGGGGGAGGGAGGGAGCCGTCGTAAGCTGCAACATGCCCAGACATATTATCACCGCTCGTCTGCACGGACCGGATATTTCAAAGTTTCCTTTTATTTATCCAGGTATCTTCGGTTTCGAATTCAGTTTTGTTGACGGTTCCTGTGCTAAAGCTCTCTACTGTAAGACATGGCAGCCGACTGCGTGGCTTGGCTGAACGCTTACCCAGTTGGTGAGTGAGACACACACACACACACACACACACACACACACACACACACACACACACACACACACACACACACACACACACACACACACACACACACACACACACACACACACACACACACACACACACACACACACACACACACACCAGAGTTTAAATGTCTCATCAGCTGGATTCGGTGTAGGGTAGTGGGACATCCTCATGTGGAAGTAGTTGGTTTGCTTGCTTCCTTGCACTGCACGTTGATTATACTCAACTCAGGTTTTGTGGTTGACTTTTCATTGAAGCATTTGTCATTTTAGATTATGTCCTGCTAAGAGGATAAAGTTTCCACATTAACAGCTGATTTGTCTTGTTTTTGTCACACATACTTGCAAATTCTAGATCTGCAAACACTTGCAAAACCTGAGAAAATGTCAAATGCAGTTTTCAAACGAAGATGTCACAATTAAACATTCCTTTAAACCGTTCTTACACAAGCGTAAAGACGGTTTTCATTTAAGAGGTGCTAAGGCAGTATAAATGAAAAATACCTAAAATAACAAATGTCACAACATTCTGTATTTGCTCCGATTGTTTTTATCTGAAGTGAAAAAAATTCATCTAAAATATTTGAATGTCTTAGTCGGAGAAATCGATTTAGATTTCTGCACTGAGCATCAGATTTTCTACATATGTTATTATAACCCAACAGACGCTGAGGACCTCAGTGATTCCTTCCTTTCTGGAGAGGAGGAAAATGGGGGATTGGCTGTCCACAACAAGAATATCAGCAATGAGATCAACAGCAACTGGTTGTCTTCGACCAGCAACAGCATCCACGAGGCACGTCTCAAGGCGAAGGCCAAACGGAGGCTGAGGAAAAACTCCTCCCGAGACTCCGGTAGAGGGGACTCTCTCAGTGACAATGGAGATGTGAGTCGGGGGATTTCTGTAGCGCCTACAAGTCCAAAGAGCAAGCTGATGGACCGAAAGTCCCGGATGAGGAAGGGCAGAGGTCTGCCAAAGAAGGGTAAGAGCATAGAAGTGTTCTGGTGTTACACATCATCCTCGCTCTCCAAAGGGAATGTGCTTCATCACTGCTTCCTGCTGTTGCTGTCAATTGTTGGCTTTTGGGTGATGAGCTATAAACCTGCTAGTGCGTAAACAAGTAGCCGGTTGATTACAAGCAGCTCAGTCCTTTAGTGTGCTGCTTTCCTTTCTTGCCATCTGTTCAGGAAGCTTTTCTGGAAATCTCCACAACGGGATATATTCATTACCGGGAATCCTTTTCAACCCCTGTCAGACAGATACAGAGGAATTTTAATGAGCCTTTTAAGGATCATCACTTGTTTTATTTACTTTTGTGTTTCTAAAAAGAGCTGAGTGGAGCACACATTTAGATGTTCCTCAGTACAGTGGGGTTAATCCACTTGACTCTATTAATGAGCAGCAGAATAAGGCCATGTCCAGCTTTTGTGGCACAGAGTCCATCCTCTCTGTTGCACAACAGCACCAGTGGACCTCTGCCGTTTGAGCTCCAGGCTCTCCTGCATTAAAACGTTGTACATCTGAAAACTTGAGAGGTAGTCGTTGAGGATTTGCTGACTTATTTTTTATTTTATGTCACCATGTTTGTTAGGACTAATGGAGATTTTTAAGGCATGTTTTAAAGCCGCTTTAGTATCGAGGCTCACAAACTGCCTGCAGTCTGCTGGTGCTGTCCTCAGACCACACACCTGGTTTGTTCTTTGTGCCTACACAGACGCAGTTGGAGTTTAATGTGTTGGCGTACACACGGGCAGCATTACATTCAGCAACGGTGCTGGGTTGCATTCACATTGCATATAAACTGGTGCATTTTTGCCATTGTGTGTAACAAATGCTTTCTCTGTAAGGACACAAAGTATCATGGCTATGCAGTTTAGCGGTCTGAATAAACAACATGATTGTTTACATGATGTAGCTGCAAGAAAGCCACGTGCACACACCGATTGTGACCAAGCATATTTGCTATTCACACAAAAGCAAATAAACCTGTGTCAGACATGAATGATATTTATGATTTATGTTGATGTTTTAAAATTTATATAATTTTTTTGTTGTTGTGAAGCAGCGATGAAAATTTTGCACATTTTATATCCTGTTTATAAATCAACTCATTTCTAACTTGCTCGGTCTATTTTAATCACTTCGAAACAACTGCTTTAATTTTAGAGTTGCCATGGAAACTGCTATTTTACATTCTTTCCCTGAGATACTTTTGTTCTGGGAAAAAAAACTCCTCATATTTGAGGTTAATGAGGGAGATCACTAGCCTGGCAAACCATTCTATATATGTGAGTCTGTAGTCTAGCCACGACCTATAGAGAGAGCTCAGTCGTGGGTTAGAATCTACAGTTGTCTTTTAAACTGTCTATGGATGCTATTAACAAACAACGCAACATACTCTCCACTATGGATGTCAGTCAACATGGCAGTCCGCCACACACTGTCAAAGGAAATGCAAATACATCCTTTCTCTAAAGCACTTAAGTATCTCTATCTGCTCTTGAATGAAAGAAAAGCCCACGTCTAAATATTTCAGAGTTGATGCCAAAGCTGTTTCAAACGAGCCGTCGCCATCTTGTTTCACTTCGTTGCAACATCCCACCCACCAAACCGACAGAGCGCTGTGATTGGCATAACAGAATACAGTTCAGGCCAATGCAGGGTTTCACCCAGCGCTTCATAAGCCTGGGGGCCCGCCAGGCTAAGCGTCATGCCCCGCTCCCCGACCCTACCGTGTCCGCTGACACGAACGGCACAACAAAACTAGAGCCCTTCATCAGCTGATACTGGTGAGAAACAGCAGTGGAACATGTGCGACCATACCCCCCCCCACCCCCCCTCCCCGCTCACAGAGGAGCGCTGCGGACGGAGCGTGCGACCCACCTCACCCCCCACCCACCCACACACATACACACACACTGACGGCCGAATCTGCCAGGCTCAACTCATTTTCTGGGTGAAACCCTGCAATGGTAGACCTGCTGTGGCTCCTATGGAGCGTGGCTGGACTGACATGCAGAGCAAAATCATTTTGCTTCGGCAATTGTCTTGTCTAGATTTCTAGGCTTGGAGATCACTAAAATGACTCCTATGTTGTTAAAGCCATGCTATTCAACTTTTTCATACTTTTAAATTTTCTTGAGCCACTAAGTGCTAAAACGACCCTTTACAAGGTTAATGAAATGTCACTCCGACTCCTACCGCCCTCTGTGGCCAGAATATCGCATTTGCGACTTCAGAGTAAAGTGGAGCTGGCATGCCAGCACTGGAGTCTTCTTCCAGCACCTTTTCTGCATGTTTTAAATTGTGAACACAGCTGATTTTGTTTGATTTAGTGATGAACTGCTCCCGTAGACACTAAGGAAGGCTGAGGAGACATTTTAGCAGTTAGATGAAGGTGTTAAAATATAAACGCACAGCAAGGTTTCACTTTTGGATAACTGATGGGCACTAGGGGGTGCTAAAGGCAAGCCAAAACTGCATAGAATCCTTTTAATGTTTGCATTTATAAAAACCAGATTTCAATAGTGTCGGCGAAAGCAGTCAGGTGAAAAAATGACCCCAATTGTTGTCTGCAGGTGGGGCAGGAGGAAAAGGTGTGTGGGGCAAAACTGGTGAAGTTTACGGACCGGTGGTGGTAGATGAGAAAGACCCCAACTACGATGAAGATCAGGTAATGGCTCTTAATATTTATGGGTTTTGTAAAAATTCAGTACAAACTCCTCCAAGAATGTTCAATTAGATTTTATTTATTTACTTATTTATTTATTTGTTAGTTTTATGAGTGCTTAACGCTAACTGTGAGCTTTATTTACGTGTGCCGACGTAATTGTACCTTGACAGGAAAACTGTGTTTACGAGACCGTGGTGCCCCCGCTGGAGGAGAGGGACTTTGAGAAGACGGTCACCCCCATAGTGCTGGAGTACTTTGAACACGGTGACACAAATGAAGTAGCTGTAAGTGAAATAACCTGCACCTTTAATGTAAGATTAAACAAACAACCCTCTCAAAATGTGTTGTGAGAATTAATTTTGCTCTTCACTTTCAGGAGCTGCTTTCAGAACTGAACCTGGGTTCCATGCAGAGCGAGGTCCCATCACTGGCTGTGTCTCTGGCCCTGGAGGCTAAGGCTAGCCACCGAGAGCTCACCTCCAGGCTGCTGGTTGACCTTTGTGGGACAGTTCTCTCCCACAGCGACATGGCGACCTCTTTTGACAAACTACTGAGAGATTTGCCCGATCTGGTCCTCGATACGCCTGGAGCTCCTCAGGTGGGTCTCACAGTATGTTTGTTTGTACAAACGTCACTAGTTCTGGACATGTAGAATTTTTAGCTTGCTGTAAACATCTGTACAAATTGAAATGTTTCACTTTTGGTGTCACAAATACACTCAACACGCTTGAAGCTTGACTCCAGTTTTGTTTCAGTTCAGGAGCTCTCACGCGGCCTGTGGTTTAGCAGAGGGGAACAACGCTGTGGCTTGACTTGTTGGTTTGCGAGAGCTAGCTGGTGTATTGTGGGCGTGTGTGAGCTCGCTCCTTTTCAGTCTGCACAGACATGAGATCTCCAGCTATTGTCTGCTTGTGCTCATAAAATGCAAGCTCAGCAAAGGACGCTCAGAGGGCTATTTGTTGTCCATCCCCCTTCGCCCCTCCTTGCTCCATCTGATTTGTTCTGACTGGTCATCTGTGCCCCAAGTTCTCAGAGAGGTTTGAGGGGGTATTATGGGCCAGCTCCTCCCTCACTCCCCACCATCTGCACTTTAAATCAGCTGTTCTCATTTTCACACACACATGCTGCTTTTCTCTCCCCCTGCCTGCCAGTCTGCCCACAGCGACAGGTCAGCTGGGATGTAGCTAGATCCTGTTAGCACAGAAACTGGGATCTGGCTTTGTGAGGGTCAGGAGAGCAAATCCAGCTCTTTCGTTTCCCTAAATCAGGCGTTCTCACTACTGTAAACACACACGTGTGCCTCTGAGGCCACTGTCAGCCCACTACTCCAGTATCAGTGGTTTTTAGGGTTTCATACGTGTTGTTTTTGTTGGATTTCTGTAGTAAACAAGTAAAAACACATGATCTTGTTAGCTTAGTTCAACAATAACATGTAGACCGAAGAGGAAGCTGTTGACATGATTGTTTGTTACACTCATAAATGCAAAACCTGGAGCTATGGAACAGGCTTGGAATTGTTTGCCATTTTTTAACCACTGTGTTGTTTTCTTTCAGTTGGTCGGACAGTTTATTGCACGTGCTGTAAGCGATCAGATACTCTCCAAGAGCTACATAGATGGGTACAAAGGCAAAGTTGATTGTGAATATGCAAGGTGTGTGACCCCTGATAACACTGCTTTACACTTGATTCTGCTGTTGTTTGTGTTACATTCTGTGGTCATTTACAGATTAATAAATAGAATTCTTGAAAGTAAAATTAATAAAATCTATAAATGACTATTTTATTATTTCTTTTTACATTTCCTGCTAGAAGAGGACCATCAGGCGGATCAAAGGTCCTGAATCACGTGTCTTGGACAGCTGAATAAATAACATGTTCAAAGTACATGGGTAGCGCATGGGTCCAGCATCTTTGGGGGACGCCATATTAGACACCATGTTTCCTTCTGGCCGGCTTGGGGTCCTGCGCCTATCGATGACGTCACACTAGATGATTAGCTGAACGTACTACTTATGGAAGCTATGTTACCACATTCAAAAACATTTAGGCAGTAAGAAACAAAAATTTTATAACAAAACTGCTAAGCTTATTTTATTTAGGCGCAGGCCCCCGAGCAGATCTGGAAAGTATAGCACCAGAAAACTACAATTGGCATTGCACTCTAGACTACACCTCTGTATATTAGCAGTGCTCTTCTGCCACCTAGTGTTCAGTTCAGTACACAACATTTACAATGCTCCATGTCCATTTACACTTAATCAATTACACACACTAAAATGTACTCATCCCAAACAAATCCCACAATGGTTAATGAGTCCAAAGTAATCAAACAGACCTTGAGGGTACGGAAATATACTCATCAAAATGTGAGGATGTCATCTGCCTCACTGACATTATTTTTAATAAAAATAATTGCTTAGGTGCAAATTGTCTTGAAATGTGATTAATCAAGAGTAATTCATTCCAAAGCCTCTGATTAATTAGAGACGTTTTTTTTATCAAGTCCCTCCCCTACTCAAAATATAATTCACAAATCAAACATGTCTTTTAGTAAATAGAACAATTCAATAATGAATTTTGAAGTACTGTGCTCACTCCTTAAATTATGTGTAATTTCACAAAATTTATATTTTTGTTTAATCCTCAGGGCGGCGTTAGATCGAGCTGCTGTGCTGCTGAAGATGAGTTTGGGGGGGCTTCGGATAGACAACCACTGGGGAACAGGGGGAGGCCAGAGACCTGTCATCCAGCTTATTAGAGAGGTAGGTAACATGTTTTCTTTGTGTTCAGTTGTGAACCAAACATTTCAGGTAAACATTCGTATGCATTTGTCTTCATATGAACACTACGTCCTGAGAGACTCGCTGAGTTGTTTTTAATAAAAAGGTTTTTAACCTTTATTTTAAATCGAGGGTTTAAAACAACTTAACGTTTCAATGCATTTTCATGCAAATGCCGTTTTAGTGAAGATATGTAGAATTTATATACAAAAGTTTAAAAAACTTTCAGTGTTATTGAAGTTTTTTGCAGAGTTAACAATTCTGATTTTCTGTGTCAGATGAACCTGCTGCTGAACGAGTACATCCTGTCTGGAGACAGTAAGGAAGCTGAGCGTTGCCTTCGGGATCTGGAGGTTCCCCATTTCCACCACGAGTTTGTCTATGAGGTAAAAGCTTGTGTTTTTGTAGGCCTATTAGGAACATTTCTTAATGCAGAAAGTGATCACTTCTTGTACACTTAAATGACCTGTTTTGTGTAAAGGAAAATTGTGTGCAATGATGTAAAACGGCAGCACAGTTTACAGCATTTTGTCGCACCCACCTCAAACTTTTGCACAGTACTGTACATGAATGCATCACTGTTCCTCCAGGCAATCGTGATGGTGTTGGAGTCTAAAGGCGAGAAAACTTTCAAAAAGGTTCTGAAGCTTCTCAGTTTATTCTCAGCATCATCCATCATCACTGTGGACCAAATGAAAAGGGTGAGGCGCCACCTGCTGGCCGAATCGGTTTACTGCTTGTGGTTTCACAGACTGGCCGTTTAGTTACCTTTCTGTTTTGTTTCTCTTAGGGCTTTGAGAGAGTTTACATGGATATTGCTGAAATAAACATTGATGTCCCGCGTGCATACTTCCTCCTGGAGCAATTTGTGGAGAAGAGCTTCAGTTTGGGAATTATTGGTGTGAAGTTACGAGATCAGTGTCCTCGCTGGTAAGTGTGCCGATTCTCTTGGACACACTTATGCAGATACATATTTACTTATATTTATAAGTGTTTGTTGTGTTGTTTTAAACAGGAGCCGGAAGAGATTCGTCAGCGAGGGAGATGTCGGTGTTGTGAAATTTGATCGGTACTGAGGTGTCCTTCCTGTGCACCAGAATCCCTGAAGAGAAGAGGATGGAATGATTATTTGCTTTTTTCTTTGTTTTTTAAATCGCATAGTAGAATTGTCTCCCTTCTAACAGTATGACTCTGGAATAGAGGTGAGGTTAAAAGAACTGCACTTTTCATTTGATCCAAAGTAGATCACTTTCTTCAAGGTGTTCCTGTATAAACATTTTCATAAGCTATCCCTGAAAGTGCCACACCTCCCAGTGACAGTCATTCCGCATTTGTTTTGTACAGTATTTTATTTTCTGGTATTACTGCCACTCCTTAATTTGTTGTTTTTGATTTTTCAAAAGTGTTGTTTATACTGAAAAAACAAATTTGTGTTGTTTTATGAAAATGTGGAGTAAACAAATAAAGGGAGAATGTTGGTTTGCTGCAGTCCTACCTCCTTAACTAGCTGCTTCCAAAAAGCTCTTAGGACTTTTGTCTTTTTCAAAGGCTAAATTACAAAAGTCATTTCAAAACAATGATGACATCACACAACAAAATTGTGTGAAGAGTGTTTATTTGTGGGGTGGGGGTGGGGGGGGGGGGATACAGCAGAATGGCTCCTTGTTGATTACATAACTAAATATTCAGAGTCATGAATGTCAATTTTGCAGCATGGTAAACAAAAACAAGTTGTGCATTTATTCTACACACAATGATCCATCTCCCTTTCACAGGACTTCACCAGAAACTTTGCTGAATGCAATAATACAGAATTGGGAGACACAATAACTTGACAACCATGCAGAAGATCATATTAAAGATTGGATCAGTAACATTAATATTTACAACTGTGGATTGTGTTCTGACTACAGAAAAGCTTAATTTGAAGTGTACTTACTAGCAGAACTTTATTAGATCTACTCTCAAACCTACGTAACGTCACATGACCCGTTGTCCATTACTTGACCAACTCCGCTTCCTAATTCCTTATTTTCCTTAGCATAAAATCTTTCAACCATGCACTTGCTCCTTCAAAGCCATTTCCTGTCGTTTGACAGCCTCTTGAGCCTCCATCTGCATCTTCTCCAGTTTCTCAAGGGTGACTGATTTGAGGGGGAGCAACTTTGGCTTACACAGAACCATGGTAGGAACGTCTTCCATGGAAAGCTGCCCTGTGAGTGTCGTCAAAACAAACAATAATTTTCAGAATGCTGGCTCAGATGAAAAGATAATGCATCTCAGCTTGATTTGTGCCATTTTCCACACCACGTTCAAAGAAAGATCTCCCTACACTTCTGGGAAAAGAAAAATGCAGAAAGAGCTGTACAACCACAAAATGCATTTGCTGTTAATCCTCAATCTACAAGCATTTGCTAATGTTCAAAATGGCATTGCTGGTCAGGTAATACTAATCTCCCTCTGCTTGGATATGAACAATTTAGATAGAAATATTCTGCAGCTATTATTGATCCAAGTGGCAGAACTGTTTGCTTGCAGCAGTGGCGATGGGCAGAAAAACGCACACTAGATAAAAGCAGAAGGTTATTTTACCATTGTGCATATCTGAGCTACAATAACAGTCTTTTGTGACTACTGCTGCAATACCGACCTTGTTTAGGCAGAACTTCTCTCAATATCGACTTGACCTCAGGCATTGTGCTTCCTGGGTGTGTGCTGAAAGGTAAGCATACGTATTTTACTATAAAAACAATTCCCAAAATTGCAGATTCAAATAAAGAGGCTGGTGTTCCAATTTGGGCAGCATGCTCATCACTCAAAACTGGTTATTTGCTGTAGCTACAATTACTGGAAACTGACATTTTCCACTTAATAAGTGTTGCACTTCCTCATGATTACGCTCTTATTAAATTGATATTGCTTTCATACAATCAAAGCTTGTCATAGTAAAAGTCTACTCGTAATTCAAAGACAAGCTAGCTAAATACCCAAACTAGCACTAGTTTTTCTCCTTTCTCTTAAATACCTGTGACAGTAAATGTCCTATTGAGTACTTACTGATTCACAATATGACGCAATTATGTTAACCTTAACCACAGAAACAAACTGATTGAATGTGTAGTCTACGAAGCACGGCAGGTCAAACACACTAATCTGGTTTAGCATGTTAGCAACACATAAGATTAGCTATTTACGTCGGCACGTCTAAACCGGTCTAAACTGACGTTCCTATCAGAGTTATCAAAAACTACATTTAGCATCTGCTAACTCACGATGTTAAGGTTTTCGTTAAATATTTTCACAGATAAAATTTAGATGTCCCATATCCCACCTTAGCACCAAAATAAGGTTGTGACTGTTGCCTTGCCAACGCAATCAGTGGAATCACGTGATTTTCTTCTGGATTTATTTCATAAGGCATGAGCAAATTACTGACACTTACAGGCGGCTCTCAGAACTGAACTGAACTCTTCAAAAATTATTTTAATTTATTCGCATATCTCAGGTAAAACAGAATAGAACTGAATAATTAATAAATTGTATCATGTTAAACTATTCAATTACGGTGAGATATGAGGAGTGAAAGCAATATTTGTTTTGTTTGTGCACAGGTACATGGGCTTTAAGTTTTATTTTCTCTAAATGCCAATTAATCAGTCACTATTTTATAATGTCCATTCATACTCCCCTTTCTCATGAAAATAGTTTTATGTTAATTCATAAGAGTAAAATGTTATTTTATGTGAAATATTATTTTACAGATGTCATTGCTTTAAATTCAATTCATTTCAAAAATACTTTTTTAATCCCAGAGGGAAATTGATTGCTGTCGTAGCTCAGAATAATGATAATAGTGATCAAGTTGTCAAAGAGTTGTTATATATTACAATGGCTGTTGGGGGGAAAGATCTCCAATAGCGGTCAGTGTTGCAGCCAAACTGAAGAAGCCTCTGACTGAAGACACTCTTCCGTTGTCGGACAGTCTTGTGAAGAGAATGCTCAGGGTTGTCCATAATTTTCTTGATTCTCTGGAGAATACTTCTTTGCATTATCTCATCCAGTGGTTCCACAGTCGTCCCCAGAACAGAACCAGCCTTTCTTATTAGGCTGTTGAGCCTTTTCAGGTCCCTGCTTCTGATGCTACTACCCCAACAGAAGATGGCTCAAGAGATTACACTCTCAACAACAGACTTGTAGAAGATCTGCAGCATCTTGCTACAGACGTTGAAGGACCTAAGCATCCTCAAGAAGCGCAGTCTGCCTTGTCCCTTCTTGTAAATGGCTTTGCTGTTCTATCTCCAGTCCAGTTTGTTGTCCAGGTGAACTCCAAGGTATTTGTATTCCTCAACCACCTCCACTTCTTCTCCCATGACGGAAACAGTGTTTGACTCCGCCCTGTTTCTTCTGAAGTCTAAAATCATCTCCTTTGTTTTGTTCACATTCAAGGTCAGATGATTGTTTCCACACCATGCCACAAAGCGCTCCACCAGCTCTCTGTACTCAGCTTCCTGTCCATCTCTGATACACCCGACAACTGCAGAGTCATCTGAGTATTTCTGTAGATGACAGGTCTCTGATTTGTACTGGAAGTCTGAGGTGTACAGGGTGAAAAGGAATGGTGAGAGTACAGTCCCCTGTGGTGCCCCAATGTTACTGATCGCCTGGTTTGATGTGCAGTTCTTCAGCCTCACAAACTGTGGTCTGTTTGTCAGGTAGTCTTTAATCCAGGCGATAGTTGAGGCCCCCCACCTGTGTCTTCTGGAGTTTCTGGCAAAGTACATCAGGCTGGATTGTGTTAAATGCACTGGAGAAATCAAAGAACGTGACCCTCACAATGCTGCCTGCTTTGTCCAGATGACAGTGGATTGGTTGAAGCAGCTGGATGATGGCATCTTCAACTCCAACTCCATGGCGATAAGCAAACTGCAGCGGGTCCTGATATGTCCTAGTTTGCTTATTCAGGTGGACCAACAGGAGTCTCTCCAGGACCTTCATGATGTAGGATGTCAGAGCAACCGGTCTGTAGTCGTCATTGACTGATGGGCGAGTTTTCTTTGGAACTGGAACAAGGCAGGATGTCTTCCACAGGACTGGAACCTTCACCTGGGCCAGGCTGAAGTTGAAGAGGTGCTGCAGAATCCCACAGAGCTGCTCTGCACAGGCCTTCAGTACTCTGGGGCTGACACCATCTGGACCTGCAGCCTTGTTTCTGTTCAGTCTCTCCAGCTGCCTCTTCACCTGACTTCTAGAGACAGATAGGTGGGAGGGGGAGGTAAATGGGGCAGCAACATCTCCTGACTTGGTTGAAGACAGATTTATAGAACCAGAAGAGTCCATGACTGCATTAGAGGACAAAAGAGCTGGCGTGTGACAGGAAAATGTTGGATCAGAGGAGGATGGGATGTCTGATTGGCTGGGGACAGGCGAGGAGGATGCTGGGTTTGTTCCTGAACTGAACCTATTGAAGAACTTGTTCAGTTCATTGGCTGTGTCCAGGCTGCCATCTGTGCAATCCTTCCTCTGCTTGAAGCCAGTGATCTTCTTCATCCCTGACCAGACATCTCTGATATTGTTCCTCTGTAGTTTGTTCTCCAGCTTCTTCCTGTATGCCTCCTTGCTGTCTCTGATCTTGATCTTCGGTTGCTTCTGTATACTCCTCAATAATCCACTTTCTCCCTCCTTGAAGGCTCTTTTTTTCTCAGTTAGAAGATTCTTCAATTCACTGGTGATCCAGGGTTTGTTATTAGCAAAGCATCTCACTGTTCTGGCGGGTATGATTTTGTCCACACAGAAGTTTATACAGTCAGTGACACATCCAGTCATGGCACTGATGTCCTTTTCATATCCTTGGCAGAGAGTCGTCCAATCTGTGGTATCAAAACAACCCTGCAGGGCTTCTTCAGTGTCCTGTGACCATTTTCTCACAGTTCTTCTTGTCACAGGTTGCCTCTGAACAAGTGGTTTGTATTCTGAGCAGAGAAAAACAAGATTGTGATCTGATTGTCCCAGAGGAGGTCTTGTTTTGGACATGTATGCATTCGTTACATTTGGATAACACAAATCCAATGTCTTGTTTTCTCTGGTGGAGCAGTTGACAAACTGTTGAAATTTTGAAAGTGTAGCAGAGAGCGAGGCATGATTAAATTCACCAGATATAGCCACAAATGCATTGGGGTGCTGGGTTTGTAGCTTAGCGACAATGGAACTGATGGCATCACATACATTTTCAGCAATGGCTGAAGGTGGAATATAAACGGTTGCCAAGACAACACTGGTGAACTCTCGTGACAAATAATATGGGCGACAACTTACTTCCAAGAGTTCAACATCTGGGTTGCAGAGACGACATTTCACTGAAACATGGCCTGGATGGCACCATCTGTTGTTGGCAAGCATTGCCACTCCACCTCCTTTTCTTTTCCTGCTCCTCTTCAGATCTCTGTCTGCTCGTACAGTCAGGAATTCTGGCAGAGAGATGCTGGAATCGGGGATATGGTTCTGCAGCCACGTCTCAGTGAAACACATAACACTGCATTGCCGATACTCTGGCTGAGTCCTTGAAAGGGCTTGGAGTTTATCCATCTTGTTGTCCAGTGATCTCACATTGCCCATTATGATCGATGGAAGATGGTTTGAATTTCCTCTTTCTCTGTCTCCATTTTGCTCCCATCTTCTTAGCTTCACAGCACCAGAAACAGAAAAGTAAAATGTCCAAAAATACAGTTTTTCTTGAGAAAGTAGAAGAAAAAATGTCCAAAAAAAAGGCAAAACTTACATTTAGTCAACAGAGCTACTCCAACATGCAGCCACCCAGAGCAGCGCAGTCCCGAAACGTGAGTGGAAAACTGGAAAAACATTTAAAAGAACTTATTTCTGATTATAATCGGTTACTCTGAGTTTTTTATGCAAGCTTAACATGAAAATTGTCTCCTACACCTATCTTCTAGCATTAGCTTGTAATAGAAAATAGACAGTGAAACTCTAGGATTTGTCTCAGGCTTTGCAAATTCTAGAGTTTCACAGCTGTCACTGAACAGTCATGAACTCGCTTACAGGAAAGGCTGTTGGTTGAGCATCCAGGAAACTACAGAGGACGTCTAAGATGTTAGATGCTCACTGTTAGCATTAGCAACTGCACCACACAGCAGAACTTCTTCATGCTTGTGTTATTTGTGGAGGAAAAACATCTGTGTTACAAGTCAGTGGTAGAATCGTGTTGCTGTTATCCAGTCCAAGCAAGATGTCCAAATATCAGCAAATAACACTCCTGCCATCTGAAACTCAGCTGTGATGTAGCTCACTTCTATGTCCTGAAAATGGTGCGTCAGTGGTTTTCTTTCCCAAGTACAACATACAAAGCATTCCTTCCTACTAGACCACTACAAATGTACTGATTAAACAAGTGTTCCACACCTTTAAAATTGTAGTACTTACAGCAAAACAGAAAGTTCAATTTAGCTTAACCTTTCAAATGAGCTTAAACTCCTTCAGGTGACCCATGAAAGCTATACTTACATATACTTAGTATCTAAATAAAAAGACAGTTGTGGGCACTGAGAACCAGCAACAAATATGTGCTGTACTAAAATAGTCTGTTTTCATGGGGTGGTGGGTTTGTTCTGCTGGTCTGATGCTTTTGCTCAATAATTCTGAGACAGAACATGTTTAATTAATTCCAATCATCTTCTCATCTGAACAAAGAATGTGCTTTTGCTTGGCTAATTTCATGTCCAAAGGGTAAGCATAGGTGTTTTATCTCAGACATTTGTGATGCAACGTCAGAAATGGGTTTTACTGTTAACTGAACCCTCAGATGAGATGGTGCAACTACTGTTTTGTCATTGAGAGACATTAGCCCATTTATCTCTGGTTCATCCTTACCTCAACACCAGTTCAGTTTTGACAGACCTTCAGCTGGATGATGAGCTTTTTCTATCATTGGTATCTTTTTAGTCTACGTGAAGTATCTAAGTCCCTTTTTTAAATTACATCCTCATCGTTTTGCAGTCATGCAGGCAAGCAAGCAGTGTAAATCTGACCCAATTTTGGTGCTCACAAGTAATTTTAACATAACATTTACCTGTCTGTCTGTCATCACTCGTTTGTTAAAAATATTAACAAGTTGTAAAATTGGTTGAATTCGTATTTTTTGTCATTATTGATTATATTTGAACCACGACACAAAGCTTTTCACGGTTATTATAATCTTGTGATAATTTGTGTTATTATTTTCCGACTTAATTTTTTCTGCTGTAATTACCTCCAGAAAAGTTGTAGTAACCGTGTAATAAACTGGAGCGTTCGTAATACATAAGAACTGGTTGCGTTTGAAAGTCTCGTGATAACATTGGCTCGGCGTGCGAATGACGCAGTTTGGTGGCCGGAGAGGGAGGGAGAAGACCAGCAGCAGTGTAAGAAAAGAGGAGGAAGCAGCTCGGATGGCGGAGTCACACCTCTGAAGGTAAATCCGTTTTTTTTAAACCTCGTTAACAGTGGACGTTTTTATGCTCTTAGCGAGGCGCTATCGACACCCAACAGGCAGTAAGCCAGTCCGCCTGACGTGACGGTGAGTTCGGCGCTAATGTGTCTTTTTGGTGGTGACGAATACGAACGTACTCTTTTGTTCAGCTTCGGAATGGCCGCTGTTTTTCTGTGTGTTTTCGCTTTTTTTCTTAACCCTCTTCCACTCGTTTCCTTTACGGAAGCGGCGTTCTGATTCCGCGTTCTAGCTGCTTCGCACGTATCTTGTAGCCGCTCGGCGCCGCACACCAGCCGCCTCTCGCTGACTGTTCTTGTTGGGGAGTGAGCTGCCTGAGCTCAGCTGTCCGCAGCACAGATTTCTTTTCTCGGCCAAACTCGCGATGGACGGCCCGGTCGCTCAGCCTCTCCGTTCGGGCCTACGTTAAACACAACCCTGCTCCGGATGCATATGTGAGTCGTTGAGGGAAAACGTTGCTTTAAAAAAAATGTGTTCCATAATGTTCTTCAAAGTGACGTTACACTTCCTCTGCTGAGAAGGAGAGTCGTTATAATCGTTAGCTTGTAGGCTAAATTGCCAGCTAGCTTGACGTTAGGAGGCTAGCTGTCTGGCAGAATTGACGTTTGATGTGGTGTTGACGTTTAGCTTAGCTGTTGTTGTTTCCTCCCTTCTTGTCAGTCTTTTTTCAGCCTTGGCGATTGTGGTTCTTTTTTTTTTCGTCATAATATTCTATCTTCGTTTTCACACGTAGTTGTAGATCTTTGTATTAATCCCTTAATCCCGTGGGTGGTTTGATGAAAACCAGACATGTTTTAGCCTGAACTCGAGCACTTTAGATATAACGCTTTATTACCTGTAGATCAGCGATCACACAGTTTGTTACCGTCTCATTTTCTATTTCTGGCCCATTGTTGGGTAAATAAATTAACCCCTAAAGGCGACTTGACTTCTCGACCTGGTTGCTACAGATTTGTCGGTAATCTCTCTGCTTCTAAGAATTTTGTCTTCTGCACACGTAGCAATCATGGGTCATGTGGAGTTGGGGTTAGCAGTCCCTGCTAGCTTACGTTTTGTTTTGCAATTATTATTAGCTGGTATCTCACACAGTCTGTAAGACTGAAAGGCCTACTTATTTTCTTGTATTAACATTTGTGGGATCTCTTACAAATGTGGACACTTTTGCTGGAAATCAGTTAAATCCCTCCAGATAAACTCATTCCTGTTTTCTGATTATCTTATTTTAGGGCTCCTCAATCTTGGTCCATGTAGGCAACTACATGCATGTTTACTGTTTGCACCAGTACACCTAGTTTTGAAGACCTTGAGAGGACACGATGAAGAGGTGATTAAACCACTGAATCAGGTGTGTTGGTGCAAAGAAACTGCTAGACATGCAGAACAATTACGCTCCAGGACCAGAATTTGATGACTAGCTTAGTTTATTTTATTTTTTTTTATCAGAAAGGCTGTGAAACGGATAAGCAAACGAGAACTGCAGAATTGAACTAAATGATGGGCCCAAGATATCCTTAATGGAAACTTCATTAGTGTGTATGTGGGAAGTCCAAGCAGCTCTTTATGGTGGTTCTGCGGTAGTGTTGATGGACACACATTAGCTTTTTCTGAGAAACTGTATTTTAGGTGAGCCTGATGCTTGCATGAAGAGTGGGTCTTAATTCATTTAATGACAAAAGTGCTGCTAGATCCCTTACATGTTGATTGTGTAATTCAAGATTATGAGCAAAAACTCCTTTAGTTAAATTTTTTTATATGAACTCTTCCAAACATGATGCACACTTTCTGATTATTTGGTGTGATGCACAGTTAGGGATGTAAAAAGATACATGGCACATTTGGATTTTGCATGTCTCTGATTAAAACACAAATAATGAGTTTAGCCTTAAACAGAACTATAACTCCTCCATACCAAACACAATTAATGGGTTGATTTAATTCTCCATTGTTTCTCAACTTTTGCTGGTTAAATAGCTAAAAGCATGTCTTGGTTGGGCCGTAGGATTAATGCTGTGTCAATGCTCGAGGATTTTTTTTAAGTATACTAGAGTGTATCAATTTTTTGGGTATAAAATGCATACCAACACAGACTTTGTGTTTTAGTTGTGTAGTATGTACCATAATTAACTCAATATGCATACTGCACCTGTAATAACCGAGCTAATGCCAGTTTTAAATAATATATAAATCATTAATATATAATAAAATTTTGAGTAACAATCCCACTCTTAGAACCTTTTTTAGAAAATATAAAATGCTTTCTCTTGTTACCGGTTTGCATCTATTTTAGTGTTAAAATTTAACATGAAGTTAATTTGCAGGAAGCTGTGATTTTTCTTTTAAGCCTAAGACCAGTTGTTGATCTGTTCAGTTTAATATTTGTTAGATGCCGACGCTTTTAAAAAGCACAAAATTCATCCGTGAACAGGGACTTTCTATACGTGATGATCATAATGTCATAATCTTCATCTCTACCATCTCCTCATTCAGCTTGTTCTGCCTTTCCTGGGATCAACTTATCATTTTCTCTTTCCTCATATTTTTTTATCACAATTTTTACTATTCCCAATTTAATATATTTTTTATTTGAAATTTTTGCTCTTGTGAAGCGCCTTGTGATTCTCATCTTTAGAGGTTCTTTATAAAAAGATTTTTTCTTCTTTGCCACAAATAAAAATTTGTTAGAAGAAAATCCTTACCCACTTGAACAGGAACACCGTAGTCTTTTATTAGGTATTAGTAAAAGGTTCCTAAATATCCTTGTTTAAACAGCAGCTATGTGCCAGGAGAGGGACAAAGACTACAGCCGTATAAGGAAGTGGGTCACATAGCTGAGTTTACATGGCTCCAGCAGTTGGGTTGGTCTGGATAATCTCAGTTATTTGTAAGTAATAACTCAGTTTGCATGTGTGTCTATTACAGCCATCAGATATGCTAATTATTCACGATAAGCAAAAAGAGCACAGATGTCTTTTATTCTAAACAATAGTGTACGACGTGCTGTCAGGTAGGAAAAGCCTCTTTTGACTGAACATTTTAACCCAAAAGGTCACGCGACCTGTTTAGGTGGAAACTTTATGCTTTGAAGGCCACTTCCAAAGATTACTCTCAGCAGTCCCAACCTTTTCTCATAGCTCATATCTCGAGCCAAACCCCCCTCTCCTCAGCGTAGCGTGTGCTGAAGAGCTCAATGTACAGGAGTCCACAGATTAAACAAACATGTCCTTTCACAATGTAAGGTCCCTAAAGACTTGCATTTTGTTTCTGTGTTTCTTTTTGGGTGAGAAAGGTTAAAAGGCCCAGGCCATGTTTGTTTATTGCAATGAAGATGGGCTGAATTTATTTTTGGTACCTTAACTCTTGATCTGGAAAAGTCTACAGGGTCTGTTCACTTGTATATGCAGTTTTGTCAAGTGATCTTTCTACTGGTTTCTTAAATATTCTCGTAAACACAGCACGGTGTTTAGAAATATCTCTATTTACCCAAAATAGAGAAACTAACTCAGAAAGCTGTCAGCACTAAGTCTGTGGCACAGTGTTGTTATTACACTAAAAACTGAAAAATTGCCTTGGATTATCCCCAGGAAAGCTACACACACGAGGAAGAGGACGAGAAAGGTGAATCTGAGGGCCTTGTCTAGCCTTGTCTGCTCATTGATGTGATGCTGAGGTTTTGCTGTATTTGAGCCACAATGTTTTGTAGCATCTTCTGTTCAAACACAAACATGTAAGCTGTGTTGTTCTTGTGTCTGATGGTTACAGAGTAGGTCAGAGATGAAGCTGGGACACAGAACGACTTTTTATTTAAAAAATATGTACTTTTTTTGTCAAAGAAAATGTAAACGAGGATCACCTGGCCATAATTTCCTGAATATAAAACAAGACACTTTTTTGAGGAACCAGCTTTTTTGTGTCATGCTAAGAAAATCCATAAAGTCTAGAAATCAAACTGGAGATGTTAACACAATGTATTTTCCTTTTCTCTACAGCAGTTTTGGAGGGATTTGACCAAGCCTGAAAGAACTTCCATAAAAAAGTTCAGGGATTTTGTGGAGTTCAAAGACTCAAGTATGAGCCCCACGAATGCCACAAATCACCTTCTTCAAAGGATTATTTCCCGTATGCCATTTTAGCAAAGGAACACATAATCACCAGACGATTGGATCATCGAGCCTTTATTTTTTTTTGGGTGATAATAAATGTGTTGGTCTGCGTGGGGATGTTTATGAAAGAGTCCTCGACTACCTTTGCCCCTTTGTTTCTAAATAAGTAACCTGATGAGAGTCCCAAGAGTATCTCTACTAGGGTTCTAATAACGTCAACATGAGTAGTACTTTAGGCAAAGAAATAGATTCAAAAGAAAAGGACCCCAAAGGCGGTCTGACAGGTAAAGAAAGGGAAAAGGAGGCCAAGGCTCTAGCCAGCTTAGTCAAAGACGGTGGCAAAGAAACAAAGACCAAAGGGAAAGATGCCAAAGAAGGAAGGAAGGACACAAGCAGCTCAACACCTGGTGTTGCCTTCTCTGTTGACAATACAATTAAGCGGCCAAACCCGGCACAAGGTGGACGCAAGAAATCTAGTAACGCAGAAGTCACTAAAGATGTCAATAAGTGTCGGGAGGAGAAGTCTGAGAGACTGGACCTCTCTAAACGGTCCCTGCAGAGTTTGCCCCCCTGCATAAAGGAGCCGACTCAGTTGCTAGAACTCTACTTGTACAGCAACAAACTACAGAGCCTACCAGCTGAGGTGGGTTGCCTATCAGGCCTGGTCACTTTAGCGCTCAGCGAAAACTCCTTGACCAGTTTGCCTGATTCCTTGGACTCCCTGAAGAATCTCCGAATGCTTGACCTGCGGCACAACAAGCTCAGAGAGATTCCACCCGTCGTCTATCGGCTGACGTCTCTGGTCAAGCTCTACCTGCGTTTCAATCGCATCACAACAGTGGAGAAGGACATTCGAAACCTGTCCAAGCTCACCACGCTGAGCATCCGCGAGAACAAGATTAAGCAGCTGCCTGCAGAGATAGGTAAGTAAACCTGCGTAGAGAACAGTAGGTGCTTTTCAAGTACGTAGCCTTTTGCTTTTGGTTATTTCAACATGATGTTGTGTTTCTTTTTTTGGTACTAGAATGACATGACTGTACTGAACGATTTGTGGATATGCATCTTTCTTCATTTAAAATATGGCTGAAGTTGTGAATCTTTGCAGGGGAGCTATGCAGCCTCATAACCCTGGATGTTGCCCATAATCAGTTGGAACATCTACCAAAGGAGATTGGAAATTGCACACAAATAACCAACCTGGACCTGCAGCACAACGAACTCTTGGACCTGCCAGAGACTATAGGTAGAATTAGACTATGAATACACGGGTTTGGTATATTTTAGTTTTGGGTGTTTCCTAAACAACGTTAACAGTCTAACCTTGTTTATCCTTTCTAATTTGGGGGTTTGGTAAATGTGCAGTGAGTAAACAATGCTTTATTTTTTTTAGGCAATTTAGCAAGCATAACTCGTTTAGGTCTGCGATATAATCGATTGTCAGCGATCCCCAGATTGTTAGCCAAGTGTCGGGAACTGGAGGAGCTAAACCTTGAAAACAACAACATTTCAATGTTGCCAGAAGTAAGTGTTGTTGTAAATTTAAATATGAAAAAGGATGCTTGTTTCATGCAATGTTGTTAAAAATTCTAAATGGATACTGCTAGTTTTGTATCAAGAGTGCTGGTCCCTCTGCACCAGTCCTTAATGTATGGCAATGTTTGCATCATTGTCCTGCTTGTCAAAAATATTCTGTAGCTTTATTCTTTATGTTGGGGATTTTTTGTTAATCTACATAATGCTATCAATCAATATATAATAAATTTCGATAAGTTAGCATAATCTTAATTATTCTGGTCTTTTTTAAACGACTAGGGGCTGCTGTCAAGTTTGGTAAAGCTGACGAGTCTGACGCTAGCGAGGAACTGCTTCCAGTCGTACCCTGTAGGGGGGCCTTTGCAGTTCGCCACCATTTACACCCTCAACATGGAGCACAACCGCATCAATAAGATCCCATTTGGCATCTTCTCCAGGGCCAAAGTGTTGAGCAAGCTAAACATGAAGGTATGAATTAGTGAGATAATCTAACAACGGAGTTGTGTGTGTTTTTTTTTTTTATTTCCCTCCAGCAAAAGACATAATATGAGACATTATACAGCAAAATGTTATATGGGCAGCATATTCTCAAGTAAACATCTATCTGTTGCATTTTGAACCTTTTGTAAAAGCTGACGAAGCTAATATGTGTGTTTAAGCCATGTTAGTGTTCTAGCTTGTGCAAAAACCATTGGTTCCTTTAAAGTTTGTTCATTTAGTGTATGTTTGGATGGATGTATGGATGAGTGACCCGTTTACCGGTAGTTTTCTTCCATCCTTTAAAAATAGACACTATGTAAAAAGCGTGTTTATTGTTATTACTTTAGTGAAGTGGTCTGATTTTTCCTTTCCCTCCTATCGGCTGTTTACGTTGTCCTGTGAAGTTTATTTTAATTTTGAAAACCCAATTCTATCTTTCAGGACAACCAGTTAACGTCTCTGCCATTGGATTTTGGCACATGGACTAGCATGGTTGAGCTTAACCTGGCTACTAATCAGTTGACTAAGATTCCAGAAGATGTCAGTGGTCTTATCGCTATAGAGGTGAGTCTGGCGTGCACAGTTGTGCACCGAGTTTTGGTTGGCATATTTTTAGATTGCACAATCCACAGCAGCACTTGTTGGACCAGTTCCTGTAGGACACAGTTAAGTCTTTTGTTTTGTGTTGTGAACCGGTCTGTCGCTAAATAAATCTGCGGTTTACTTGCAATGATTAGAAATAGTCTCCCATTCGGGTGATTTTGTTTAACATCAACTTAAGTTTTTTTGCAGGATGCGTTACTATTTCTTATTTCTGTTAACAAGCATGTGAGCTTCATGTGTTTCCAGGCTAGGGCTGGTCGATAATTCAGTAATGATATATATCTATCCATAGACATGTGGTGCGATAGGAAAAAATGGGTCGATTTAAAAAACTTAGATTAAAAAAAGTTTCTTTTCTTTTTTCATTATAACCTATCAAGTAGTATAATACTAGACTCCCATCCAATCAACAACACAGATCCAGGCCCGTTCCGTCACCAAGCCCTCCCTTCTCAGACCTAAACAGACAGCACGTGACTTAAAAAAGAAGCAGCATGGAGAGGCAGAGGAAATTGTCCCAAAAGAATAATTTGGTCATTAGAAGTTCTTTGCTAAATTTGTGATGGGAGCTGAGGCCAATTGTTCAACTGACAGAGCTGCACAATGTTTATTTTCCTGTTTTTTGCGCTGTCGCAGGGCTGTGGCCGACTCTCAGCACTAGCGATGTATCGGTTATGAGCAAAACAGCTCTTTATAGAGCCTCACTTAGAGAGAGGGTAGGAAGCAGCGTCCTTCATATCAGAAGTTTCCAAAAGCAACACTGTTCATGGCCGCCTTTGTTTACTAACTAAAGCAAGACATGTCTTTTGCCCTACCTACATGCTTGGAAAATTGCAGCGTTCCTAATAAATGTGTTTGAATGTATGGAAAGCCAAAGTGACCCACAGTTCCTTCCTGTGACGTCAATTGTCTATAGGTCAATATGAATGTTTTTTATATATATATATGTTTTGTTCTATATTGTACAGTCCTACTCCAGACTCACTTTTTGTTTATTTTTAATTTTGTTTTCCAGGTGTTAATATTGTCCAATAACCTCCTCAAGAAGTTACCACAAGGTATTGGGAATCTGAAAAAGCTACGAGAGCTTGACCTTGAGGAAAACAAGCTGGAATGTCTACCGAACGAAATCGCTTACCTGAAAGATTTACAGGTAATCTTTTCATCTCATTGTTTTAAAACAGAAAGAGATGGGGATTTGCTCTTAATGCATTTTGGTTTATTTCTTCTTTTGAAACCAGATGTCAAGATTTACATACATTTTTAGACTCATGATAAAAATACAGGTTTATACATTTGAAAGATAAACTCAGCTATGAAGTCTTACCTTTCACTATATACACAGGGGTTTTCCTGCGTTCAAATTTGTGTAGCGGCCGCCTCTAGCTATTTTTGTGCCGCCCCAGCCTGATTTCACTCCGACCCCAGCTATATGGATGTTATTTTAACTGCAGTTGCAGCGTTGCACCACTACAGGGGCGCTGTATCAGCAGCGGTGCACCGAAAAGCACTAAAACCGCTGCAGACAAAGATCAAAAATGGCTTTTCTCACTAGTTGTTACATATCCACGGTTGGTGCTATTGACGTCCTGATTTTCCCCCGGGCTCTTCCATATCAGAGCAGGGCTGTACAGTGCGACAAAAAATAAAAACTGTCTGTGAGTGTCTGTCTATTTTTAACGTAGCACTGGTGCAACATCTTTGAATTACCATTTTCCCGAGAACTTTATTAAACAAAAGTAAGTTACGTGTAAGAAAAATGCTTTTTACTGGTGCACAGTGTGGTATTCTGGATGCAGTGGAGGAAAATAAAGGAACCAGCAAAGGCACAAAGGCAGAACTGGTCCAAAGTTTGGGATCAAAAGTAAAGCTGCACGCAGATTGGCTAATGCTAAAGCTAACAGGTAGCAGTCTCACGATCAAGTGGTGCACAGAAAAATAAATGATGGTAAAACTAAAAAAGACTAAACTCTACAAGTGGATGAAAAGTCCCCACTGTCCTGTTTATTCTGCATCCTGCTGTACGGATCAGAACCGCTGCAGATGCAAATCCCATTCGCAGGAAGTACGACAAGCCGGTGTAGTATATAATTCGCTTCAATCTTTGAACATAATTTAAATTGGATTATTGCCAACCCGTACATAATAGACATGCCACCATTACATTGTTGGCAGCAGAAATTCAATGTTGTTAGCATTTCCAATACAAATGCATGTTAATGAAATGCTTTGTAATTTACTGGATATATTTGAGTGTTATTAATACAAACCTAAAATGTTACAGAAATGTAGATCAAATATATAAAAATATTTTTAACTATAAATATCAGATGGGAAAAAGGGAACTAAACACCAATCTAATGCATATTATTGAGCCTTTTATAATAAGAATCTGTTGTTTCAGCCTGATTAATTTGTTGTTTTATTTAATAATTTTAGCAGCAAACCAGTTTTGTTTCACTTGAAACGTTGTCAAATGGAATATTCAATTAATCAACAGAAGCTTAGATTAGAACACTTAACGAAAAAATATTTTGCCTTTAAAAAAGTGAGGCAGTTGAATGCACCGAGTACGCATGTGCTGGCGCACGGTCCGTATGGTACCACCTCTGCCTCAGTTTGAGCCAGGAAAAACCCTGATACAGTTTCTTCTAGTATTAAGGAGCAGATTACTGGACATGTTGTCTACTCGTTAGATAATCATCACAGTTGGTCTCCACAGTTGGAGGGATGGAAAATGCTTTGGCATGCAGTTAAGTTAGACCCTTCACATTCAGCACAACTCGCTGTGTTCTATTGTTGTGGTTATTTGTATCTAAACCACACACATAATAGTCCTAATAAAAATATCCCATCACTGTGTAATTTATAATTGCAAAATTTTCTTTTGAATGCAGCTGTAGCTTTTCCAGATGTTTAGCGTGTTGGATTCAGAGCCCCGTGGGGGTTACATCATCAGAGTTGCGGGACTTATCTTCTCGTCCCCGTTGATGGTCTTTATGGCTGCCTGGACATGGAGGCTTGTTGTAGAATAAATGTGGGACACATTTGATAACATTGCTTGAAAAATAAAAAAAGTGAGGCATCTAAAATGATTGTATAATCCTGAATAAAGGCACCCAGAGGAACAATTATGACTGCTAGGGGTGTAATGGATAATCATTGATCTGTTATCCGCATGCACACAGTCCGAATCTTAGAGCCCTGGTGCATCAAACCAACATCAGCCTATCTCCGACAGATCCACACATTGAATCAACTTTTAAAATTCATCAATGTTCAGAGATTTTTATGTTTCCTCATGAAGCTTCAGTCTGATGGATGTTTGCATGCTTCAACAGGAAACAGCCAAAACTTCGTCTATACCCGTTTTCATTCAGTCTCGCAATGCAAAAATGTTGTTGCTAAGTCGACTTTTATTGTGCTGCATCAGATGAATGCAGAGCCTACCTTGTGGCCTACGTGATGACCTTTGCTGCTGCAAACACTTACGCCAGCATGCTGGTGTTTCTCTCTGCACTGCCACCATATTGAGCTTCTTTGTGTACCACAAACAATCACAAGCATAAACAGATGAAAGTGAACTACTGTGGGTGATAAGCCCTTGCTGGAGCTAATAATGCTGTGACTTGTACTGAAGTGACCGCAACGTAGTGAAGAAGAAAGACGTCAGAGGTGTTCAGTCGTCTTGTTGGTGTATAAAATAGTCGTCTTCTTAGGCGGAATCCTGGTATCGTAGGGATTTTAATAGAGACATGTTTTTTTTTTAATAACTGTTGTTTGGATGTAAAGGTGCTTCAAAAATTTGTTTGTGTGCAGAAATTCAACTGCTTCTACATTTTTTCTGGTGGCTGTAAAGATTTTCTCCTCTTTCCCTTCAGAAACTGGTGTTGACAAATAATCAGCTGACTACGTTACCCAGAGGCATCGGCCACCTCATCAGCCTGACTCATCTGGGTTTGGGGGAGAATCTGCTGCAGCACCTTCCAGAGGAGATCGGTCAGTACATCTAGTTAACGGCGCATATCAATGTCCTTGGCTGAAATGTTACAGGGTGGTAAATGTCCTGCAGCGATCTGGGGAACCAGAATGGATGTCTAGATTAGATGTGGTTGTAGCTAGTTTCTTAGCTTTTATGCACCATTCAACCTCTGTTGGACTGCCTGGAGGACATCAAGCTATGGTTGGCTCAGAACTTCTTGTGTTTCAACGAACACAAGACTGAAGTTATTCTGTTCACGCCACCAAAGACCCCAGGAGGTGCCCAAGGGCTTGATTTTGCCACTCTGGCACCGCATCAGAAGGCGGTGGTCTCTAACTTAGGGGTAAAACTGGACGCAGATCTCAGATTTGATGCTCAGGTGAACAGTGTTGTGAGATCTTGCTTTTTTCATCTACGCCGCATAGCGAAAATTAAGCCATTTCTGTCCCATAATCATTTGGAAACTGTAATCCATGCCTTTATTACCTGCAGGCTGGATTACTGTAATTCGCTATATGCGGGGCTTAGACAAGCTCCAGTAGCACGCCTCCAGGCGGTTCAGAACTCTGCAGCCCGGTTGTTAACATCTACCAGGAGGTCTGAACATATAACACCAGTCCTACGTGCCTTGCATTGGCTCCCTGTTTTTCATCGCATCAGGTTTAAGGTCCTCCTGTTTGTGTTCAAGGCGTTAAACACAGGGGCTCCTAAATATCTTTCCGATGTCATCCACCAACATGTCCCGGTGCGTTCCCTTAGGTCAGCTGACCAGAGATTACTAACTGTGCCTAGGTACAGCCTGAAGTCTCGTGGTAGTCGAGCTTTTTCAGTACGTGGACCAAGTCTCTGGAATGAGCTGCCAGCCGATGTAAAACAGGCCAAGTCATTAGAAACCTTTAAAGGAAGACTGAAAACACATCTGTTCTCGCTGGCTTTTGGACGTTGAAGTTGGGGGAAGTAGGCCGGATATGGACTGTGAACTGGCACTCAGGTTTTTGTACTGTATTTTAAAATGGATTTTTTATTGTATTTTTATAGGATTTATTACGGTATTTTACAGGGATTTCTTAATGTATTTTAATGGATTTATTAATGTATTTTAATGGTCATATCTCTGTCCTATTGTGTGGCATTTTATTGATGTACAACGCTTTGTTTGTCCATTCTGGCCATGTGAAAGCGCTCTATAAATAAAGTTGATTTGATTTGATTTGATTTAGCTTTAAAGGTGTGGAACACTGAAAACATTTTTAATGATTCGTTTTACTCTTGAGTTTCTCCATGCAGGTTAAACATGAAAATAGTCTCCTACATTTATCTCTTGCGTTAGCTTTTGATAGAAAATAGACGGTCAAATGCTAGGATCTGAAAAGTCTGACAGTTCTACGTCACACCGTCACCTAGCATTCATGGACACACCCATCTTGGCTCACAACAGAGACGGCTGTTGTTGCTTTAGTGTGCAGGAAACAGCGGAGAACGTCTCGGCTAGTAGAAGCTAACCATTAGCATTAGCAACTCCACCACACAGCAGAACATCTCCGGGCTTGTGTCATTTGTGTAGATAAAACATCAGTGTCACAGAGAAAATTGAGTCAGTGGCAGAGTTGCGTTGCTGTTAGCCAGTCAGAGGTAACATGTAAAAATATCAGAAAATAAGACTCCATATCCTGTCGTGTCAAGCTCTCCTCTGATGCGGCATTCTGCCAGTTCCTGTTTCTGTCCCACCTGAGCTTCTCTTCCACAGGGGATAACTTGCAAGGCATTCATTCCTACTAGAGACCACTGCAAATGTATTCATTAAACGAGTGTCCCACACCTTTAATACGTATTTACTTATGTTATATATAGAAATCTTTGTTCTTGTCCACCAGATCAAACAATGTGCTTTATTTCAGACCTTGTTTTTTTTTAAGAATCCAGTGTGAAACTAAACTGACACCAGCAAATGTTCATCTTTAGGCACGCTGGAGAATTTAGAGGAACTTTACCTCAACGACAACCCCAATCTGCACAGCCTTCCGTTCGAGCTGGCCCTCTGCAGTAAGCTATCCATCATGAGCATCGAGAACTGTCCTCTCACCCACCTGCCACCCCAGATTGTTGCAGGAGGTCCTTCTTTCATCATCCAGTTCCTCAAGATGCAGGGACCCTACCGTGCCATGGTCTGAGCTGAGAGCAGCTTGTTGCCGTTCAGTTCAACTTCAAACCCTCTGCTTACTCTGCGTCCTTTCGCCTGCCTGCCTGCCTGACCCCAGTGCGTGTATCATACACTGTAAAGAAAACAGACTCATTACAATCATTGCCGAGGGCACCCACAGACGGGGAGGTCGATGAGAATAACGTTTTGTTCTCCGTCATTGCGCAGGAGTAAGGCATGTCTTTGGAGCTTTTTGCTTTACTCCACAGATCATTCTGGTCATCTATGACATCGGCCACAAAACAGAACTCCTCTTTCATTCCGAGTCATAAATGAGGAAACTCTTTCCACCTGATTGCCAAAACTGAAGTTCTATATATTAACTCTGAGCTAGGAGGCGAGTCCTTCAACTTTTTAAATCACGCTCCCATTGCCAGTGTAAATACAGTAATTACAGCATCTTATGTGAGCAAGGATACAATTGTATGCAAAAATGACAAAAAAACAACAACAAGTCTTTGGAACTTTTTGTTTACTGCTGCTGCTGTAATTTTAAACTGTCATCTTGGTATTCTTTCTTTTGATACTCTGGTTTTTCTTTCATTTTTAAACATAATCTTCCCTATTAGTAACTTATGTTTATTGTTTTATGACCGTCGAGAACAAAGGTCTAAATATGATTATATGATATAATTTGTTTGTTTTACCTTTGAAATGATTTTTTTTAAAGAACTGTGCCTAATATGTTTAGAGTGATCCAGGGGTTCATTTCTAAACACGATTCTTCATAAAAATACAACATAAATTATTGCAACACTTAATTGCTACTGTTTTAAATTTATGTTTTTAAGTGTATCTTTTGCATTAATCCATCATGCAAGCGATATCGGTTGTAAAATATGAAGATTTGAGACCTTTTTAACAACTAGCAGCAGTAGGTGTTCATCGGTAAGCTAGTCATGTATACATATGATAAATACCAATCATTCATGCTAAAACAAAATGTTTTATTTCTTTTCCATGAAGAGCAGCGAGTTGGCTCCCGGATATTGGGTCAGGTCGGGGGAAGGGGCATCATAAAACATAAGGTACATGGGGTAAACCATGGATGTTTTATACATGTATACAATTTCTGGTTGTTGCCTTGAGTGCAATTTTTATTTCTGTTTACTTGTTTGATGTTCTCTCCAGTGTTGGACTCTATAGCCATCATCTAGTTGATCATTGACCAACATATCAAGCATTTTTAAAGACGTTTTCTGAGTCTGGAGCGAGCGGCGAGTGTATCTGAGCTTCAAAAAGATTTGATAATAAAACATTGACAGGTAATTCAATTACATATATTTTCTTTTTTTCCTGTAATTTTCTTTGCTTCTTTTGATGGGAGTGCTAAATTTTAATTGTATACCCATTTTTCTTTTTTAAAATGATGTAGATTTGATGTTTTTGAATCAGGTTTTTGCTGCTTTTATGCCCCCTTTTTTTATTTCATTTGCATCGTTATTGAGGCAGACCCACAAGAGCCTCGCTCTTATTTTTATTAGGGCCGTGTTTTTTCAAACAAGCTCGCTGTCCCTAAGTGTAAAAGTGGACATTAAATATTTTAAAATGTTCACATTTGAATCTAAAATTTTCACAGTAGGGGCTTTTTATTCCCCCTAAACCTGTTTTCATTGCAATAATCGCCCCAACAAAAACAAATGTTGGTTTTGTTTTCAGCCCAAATTAGTTCCACACCCAGCTTCGTGCTTTCTACTTTCTTGGTGTTTTAGCGAGCTGTGTCCAGTCTCATCCAGACAGGTGGGAAAGCTACGGCTCATCCGGGTCAGGTTGGATTTTTCTTTTTTTCGGATGGGGGTTAAACATGAAATGCTGCTTCTGATTACCAGCAGAACCTGTTGCTGCTTCTCATTGACTCAAACATTTGCTGTTGAGGACGGACGGAGCAGCGCAGGGAGGAGGTGGGACAACGACCCGCTCCCTATCCACAGATTTCACCGGGAACTCGCTGACCCGTCATCCCCTGGAAACCCTGGTGGTTTTAAACGCAGATTAAATCGTTGGGACCCAACGATGAAACAACACAAACAAGGTGCATTTTTGAGCTTGACGCAGTTCTAGTACAAGACTGTCAGAAAAAGGACAAACCAATTGTAAAAAGGGCTTTCTGTGTTCACGCTCAACAACACACTAGAGGCATTGCATTCCTGGGTTTTCTATAAAAGCTTTGGAAGTTTCTTTTATTTGTCTGTGTGTGTGTTTACTTTTAGCAGTTGTCTGAAAAATGCCTTCAACGAGTACTCAAAGTGAGATGTGCATTAGGTGTGCAGCGTTGAGTGCTGTGACCCGTTTTTACATTCACTCCTACTTTATTCACGTGCCATGTTGCAACACGGTGAACACCAGAGTGCGACGGCTGCAGGAGATGAGATTCCACCCCTCAGACTCTGGAATGTGTAATAAAACGTGGAAGAGGTGGAGAACGGCTCAGATGATGGTGTCCCTGCATCAAAGCAATGATGGATCCAGAAAAAAGTTTCTCTTGTAGGCCATGAGCGGTGTCATCTTGCTTCTTCTTTCTTATTTCTGCAACCTGACATGCTCCTGCCTGTTTTTCTTTCTTTTTTTTTTTTTTTTTGAGCAGCAAGCATGTTTATCTGACGTGATCTGGTTGGGTCACAATCGGGCGTTTTTGCATAGAAGACTTAGTAGCTCTTTAATGTTCCTGCAAATGCTCCCTTTTTTGTATATTGCAAAGGGTGTCAAGGCATTGTGTGCCAATGCTTCTACTTAATCTCCATTGACGAGCAGCCTTAATGGTCTTTTTTATGTGTTTGTTTGGCTATTCCTCGTGTCTATGGCCACTGACTGTACTTGATGACAAGCAACTGGTCGCTACAATGTAAATTTGAAACCTGTTTCCCTTTTTTTCTTTGACTCTGTACAGTAATCTGATGTTACGCTAGACTCAGTATTACAAAATCTGTTTCTGTGAAGTTTTATATAAAAAAACAACCAACAGAGTACACTGAAAGAAGATGCCAATATGCTACGATATGGTGGATGTACATGAGCTTATGTCTCACACATCTGTGGCATTAAAGGGGAATTCCACCAAAACTGACTTGCATTGTTGCTTTGTAGAAATGTCCACCATTCGATTTTAAAGTCACCTGGGGTGAAGATCGTCTCGCGTTGATATGAAGATCAAAGAAGACGTTTTCAGAGGATTAGATTATCTCAGCCGTTAAAGCACGCAGCTTCATAAACAACCACTGTTGTAGTTAAACCCAATTTCTTTATGGACCGGCCTTTTCATGCTGCCCACTTTTTATTGCATCACTCACATGCTTCTATTTTTTCTCTATACATGACACACCTTATTCAATTCAATTCAAAAATACTTTATTAATCCCAGAGAGAAATTGATTAATGTGCAGCAAGCAAGCAGGACCTTCATGACAATCTCAGGAGATTCCAGTGTGTTTTCTGGCTTCCTCCCAAGTCTTCAGGCTTGGTTGTGAATGCTGGACTTGATCCTTGCTGCCCTGTTGTAAATCTGATGTCCTCAGACCAAAGTTGCTCCTCAGTCGATTGAACATGCCTACATCCAGTCATGTTCAGTGTGTACATAATAAACAGACATATTTACAACATTCATGATGCGAGTACTTATTTTAGTTTAGAAGTTTTCTTTTTTTTGACATTTAATTGTAAATACTGGGCTTTTACTTCCAGAATCATTGTCACTAAAATGACTTGGGATATATTTTCTTCAAGAAAAACCAAACTTGTATTTAATTAAAGTTGAATAGAAAATGAATAAAACTCCTGGGGAATCCCAAGGTGTTCCCTGGCCAGCTGAGAGACATTGTCCCTCAAGGACGTAATTTTCACTTTAGAAGGGGGGGGGTCCTTCAACACAAACAGTTGTTTTCCGCTTGGTCCTAGAGCTCGACCAGTGTCAATTTAATATAGTGTAATATTGTTTTTGGATGGTAAAAAGTGCAGGGGTAAAAACTTGACTTTGGAAAAAGTGTGTGTGTGGGGGGGGGGGGGGGACCAGGGGGACATGTCCCCCTGGTCCCCCCCCCCCCCCCCCCCCCCCCCAATTACATTCATGTTGTCCCTCCATCGTGTCCTGGGCCTCCATTTAGGTCTTATCCTAGTTGGACTTGCCCGTAAACCCTCACCAGGGAGGCGTGCAGGGGGCTACATAACCTCTACTGGCTCCACTCGATGTGGAGGAGCAGCAGATCTACTCCGAGCCCCTCCCGGCTGACAGAGCTTCTCATCCTCTAAGGCAGAGCCCAGACAGCCTGCAGAGGTAACTCATTTCGGCCACTTGTACCTGGACTCTATTCGGTCACAACCCAAAGCAGGACCACAGGTGAGGTCACTACCCAAAGCTTGACCACAGGTGAGGGTAAGAACGTAGCTCAACCAGCAAGAGCTTTGCCTTCTGGCTCAGCTCTCCACGATGACAACCCGATACAACGCCAGCATCACTGCAGACACTCCCGACCCTTTTCCGATTCAAGACCATGGTCTTGGAGGTTTAGTTCATTACCTCAAAATCATCTGCTGGATAATCTAACTGAAGCACTGCAAGTGTCTGTTGAAGATTATCTATAAATATATGAATGTTTGTATTCTCTTGTGTGTGTGCATGTTGTGAAACTTCTTACAATTATACAAGGATTAGATAGATAGATAGATAGATAGATAGATAGATAGATGGATAGATAGATAGATAGATAGATAGATAGATAGATAGATAGATAGATGGATGGATGGATGGATAGATAGATAGATAGATAGATAGATAGATAGATAGATAGATAGATAGATAGATAGATAGATAGATAGATGGAGGGACTGACGGACGGACAGATGGATAGATATAGATTTATTCTGTATAACACTGCCCCCTGCTGGTGAGTCTATATATCTTTTAAAGTAATCAGGCTACATTTATTTGATAAAAACACAAAAAAACACGTTATTAATAGCGTTAATATAACATTTAACCACCTTAATATCAGCTTATGTCTAGATATTAATTCCTTAGTTCTTAATATTACTGATCTGTGAGCAGTGATTTAGCCCTACTCCACCCTAAACTTATTTCCTCCATTGTCTCTTTTTTTTCTCCACTGGAGTTGTGCGTCTGAGTTTGAAGCTCGTCGGCTCCGGTTGGAGTCGACAGGTGTCACTGTATCCTTGCGCTTTGTCCGCAGCGCCCTCGTGGATCAGAAGAAGCTCCGCGGCTCGTGTTTGTCCACAAAGCCTGGAAGAGAAACCAGGATCTCTCTCTCTCTCTTTTCTCTCTCTCTCTCTCTCTCTCTCTCTCTCTCTCTCTCTCTCTCTCTCTCTCTCTCTCTCTCTCTCTCTCTCTCTCTCTCTCTCTCTCTCTCTCTCTCTCTCTCCGTGTGTGTCTGTGTATGTGTGTGAGCGCGCGGTGTCTAATGGCTGGGCACTTTGAAAAGCCTTCTTGCACACTTGTGAAATGTTTTGCGGTTTAGGGCTGTAACAGAGTAGTTTCAGAGGTAATTGAATTTCCAATAATCCATTAAAGCCACGTGTTCTTTTTTCAGCCAGAGCGCGCGATTCTGCCACCCCCCTCTCCTTTTCCGTGAGAACAAATCTCGCATCCTCTCACGCGCACACTCCCCTTAAATTAAAACAATGAACTGCCATCGGCGCCATGGAGTAAAAGTTCTGAAAGAGTTAACAACTTCTTGAAAATGTTGAAGATTTATGTATTAAAAATGGACCTCTTTGCTCTGCAGTCTGGTTATCATGATTGTGTAATTTTTAATTCTAGTATTAAATGTTTCTGGAGTCTGGATCCTCGCTGGTGCTGTTTTTAATCTTCTGCAGCTGACAATGGGGCAGCACAAGCAGTGCTCGTGGTGTGTCTTCACACCTACGCCTCATGAATATCACTGTGCAAGTCGCCCTTCCAGAAGTCATTTTAACTTTAGCAGATATATATAGAAAAAAGTTTCACGACAAAGCTTTCCAATCTAAATGAAGAGAGTTTGTAGGCTTTGTAAAGTCGTGAGTTAAAAAAGATTCACTGGATGGATTTCAGTGAATCTTTCAGAAAGTAACCACCAATGCCTTTTTCCACTTCCTGCTCAGCCCAGGTGAGAACCAGCTCTTTGTCAGACTCCGAAGAGAAAAAAAATAAAACACATAAAAGGCTGTGAAAAGCACTCCAGCAACCAGTGACTCAGCTCTAACCAATCAAAGACCAAAATGTGCAGATGTCTGGCTAAAGGTTGGTTTATGCTTGACGCGTCCGCGAGGTCCGCACGGCTCCGCGCGGAAAAGTTGCGTCATTTTAACAACCACGCCCCTCCACCGCGTCTCCGCACGGCCCAAGATTTCCGCAACGCGCACCTCGGAAAATTTCTAACCACGCGGACGGTCGGACGCGGAAAAACATGGCGGACCGGCACGGCAGAGGTTCGTAAATACAGACATTTGTATGATTCAGCTCTCAGAGGTCACCGTGATCAACATGTTGTTAATAATTCTTGGAGAGAAATAGTTCGCACTGTCGGAAAAGACGAGAACGCTGTTAAAAATGCTGAAATACCATGTTGTAAACAGTGATTTCTACTTCTACTATGGTGTAGTGTTGGATGCATGCTGTAGAGCTCCATGCTGCCCCCTACAGTTTGGGAGAATATTGGCTCACCGCAGAGACGAGCCGCACAAACCATAAATGCTGCGAGTTGTGAAGCGCGTTCCAGCCGCGAGCCGCATCACCGCGCGGAAAGTGAATGCGTCAAGCATAAACCAAGCTTTAGGTCCACCGCAAAGTTGTACTTTCTAAAAAGGGGGCAGCATCATTGCAACTGTAAGTGGAAATGCCTTAGGACTGTTCAAAGCTGAGTCGAACCGCGCTGAGTAGAGCGAAGGACCAAAGTCAGCCAAATAGACCCTTTTACTACCTACGTCATCAAAAGTTGCGCGCGCAGTCTGGCAACGAGAGTGAAGGCTTCCTCATTCACACTCGATACTAAAACAGCGTTTTAAACCCTTTGTTTTGAAGTTCTGAGCACATAAAAATGTCGGGTTGTTGCGTGTGTGGATGCCAGAATCGCTTCTCTTCAAGCAGTGGACTGACACTTTACAGAATTCCGAAGGGAGCACATCCATTTCAACCAAATCGGAGGCGTCTGTGGCTGCAGGCCATCAAAAGGGTTGATGAAAACTGGACTGAAAACACGATCCGAAATGCTCGAGTTTGTAGCGCCCATTTTATATCAGGTAAGGTAACTATGTACTAAGATTACACCAGAAAGCTGGTTAACGTGTGTTCTATTAAATAAAGTAAGTTGCATTTGCTGGTTTGCTTTTAAGCAGTCTATTTATTTACAGGCGAGGTGTCATACTCTGAGCACACAAAAAAAAAGAAACCTACGCTATACTCACCCTGCCATGCAGGTACAGTTGGCTGTGAAGACGTAGTTCTCTGGTTTGTTTACTATGACCCAAGCCTCGTCCATAGCGGTCTTGTGTCCTTGTCTTTGGCTAGGAAGGACTTCTGCCTTCAAGACACAAAACTCAGAGTCTATGTCGTGATATTTTACTTTCTGTACGTGGCCACAGACAACATAGTTGTATGCATCTAACGACTTGTATGCCCGTAGCTTCTCACGTGTGTACTTACTGGGCCTCTCCACTAAAAACGTATATATATCGGGCCACTGGATATCTGGCCACGCACCTACATCTTCCACCCATTCCGTAATGCCACAGGGATCCGGGAGTCTGTTGCCATTCGTTAAAGTGAGTTTAATAATATAACATTCAAGATTTGCCGGCGATAACCCCGCAGCGTAGCTTGATAAAGCCTGAAACAACGCCATTCTCTGTTGCCAAGCTGCGCGCGCATTCTCGCTGACGTCATATTGTTTACAAACAGTAAAAGGGTCTATTACTGAGTCACTGAAAAGTTCCCATCCATCTTCATGGAGGGGGCGGGACTTATTACTAAGGGCCTTGATACAAATGCTGCAATATACAAGTAACCTGTAGGTGGAGTTGACAACAGGAGCGAGACCCACTCACCATGGTGACTCCGTCTCTGGTTTAGAGGTCTTTCACACCATCTACGATACTGCTGCAGTCTTTTGTTTTATTTCATGTCGTGATCTCAAATTAACCAGTTAGTGAGCTCTTTTATTGACGCCATGTTTGTTTTGATTGTACTGACAAACACAGCTCTCTATCCCATCTGAGTTCTCTAGTGCACCCCTAGTGGAACAATGCAGTACTACATGCAGTGCAGTGCCGTGTATCAGCAAGTATGCAAACAAAGATGCAGCCTCCTGCTTGCGCCAACGCCAGCAAGTATATTCCGGCCCTAATACTGCAGCCAACTCACACATCAAGTGCTAACAGAATGTATGATATTTAATATATTTTGAGTGCTCTATTTGATCTTTTGACCAAAATGGCATGAGATTATTTTAATTTAAAACTCTGATTATAGCAGTCCTTCAAAAAATATTATATTCAGCTTCTGCATAGACGCTAGGGTTTGAGTTTCTCTTATTATTAAGTACAAAAATCCAGGAGTTTCCTTTTTTTTTTTACCTCAGACCCTTTTAATAAAAATCAGACTGATAAACATTGGCAGGAATCAACAAGCTGTCAGGAAAGCTAATATGAAGCTGTGACATGTCAACAATCACCTGCCTCATCTTCATTCAGCAAAGTAAACAACACAGAATCAGTTTGGCAGCTATGATCAGCTCGGGTCGGCCTGAGGCAGGTGTCTGCTAAACTTAAATATTTGACTTCAAACATCAAGTCAGATGTTGTCATTTATGAAATGTAGACAACAAAGATGCTTTAATAAGAGTAAAACCTAGAATTTTATCCTTGTTATTGTAAAATCTCTGAAGACTTTTGGATTATTCTCCGTATGGATCATCCACCTATTTCTATTTAGGATAAATACGAATCTGAACTGTTTCTTTATGACTCACAGAATCAGAATCTGTGTGAGGTTGAAGCTCCAGGGACTCCTTTAGCTCTTTCACCAGCCGTCTAAAAGACAGATGAGTAAATGAAGTTGTGTCAAAGTAATAAAATGCATCTGCTGATGTTCACGTGGTGCAACTCCAGCTGCTGCTTAGCAACAGTCTCCAGCAGCTGTGCTACAAAAAATGTCTGAGTCACCAGGATCTGTTAATATTTTATTTCGGATAACTTTGTTACAGAAAATTAAAATTTCTCTGCAGCGGGAGTTTATAGCAATTTCACGAATTTACACAAAGTAGATGAATAAATAAATGGATGAATACATACAGGCATACACATTTACACACATGCATGAATGTGTAAACATGTACACACAAATTTGATTATTTCATTATTTCCCTGTTCATGCAGAAACAATTAAAGATTTATATTTGTGTAGTTGAGTAAACACAAATGTTTGCTGCACTTTGCTTTTTTAAGTGTAATTTCAAGAAAAACTTTAATCTTATTCTGCAAATATTCTCCCTTTGAAATGCATAAAGAAAAAAACAACGGATTGGATTATTTCTTGTAATTCTGTACTGCTGGGTCAAATATGGATTGAGCCAGGGGCGGATTTAGGACTGAAGAAGATCCGGGGCTTAGCACACGCGCACACACGTGGCACGCACTAGTCAACATCAAATATATTTGTCTTGTACCACATAATTTTTAATCTGAAGCTACATATTCAGCATATTCAGGGCAGAGTATTGTTCCTGTTAGTGTTTAGTGTGAGATGATAGTAAATATTCCCGTTCTTTCTCCAACAACTTTACCTGATAGTAAGCTAACTTTAGGCAAACCAGCAGCACAACAAATATTTTCAAATAAGACTCACAAACCTGAGTCAACACTAGTCTCATCAAAGCTGGGGTTCTGTCGTTGTACTTTTGGTCTAAAAAATGTCCTTATGTCCATCTTCACATTTGTTTTTCAGGCATAGACTGTACATACAGGCAGAGAGTGTAGAAGAAGCCGGCTGCTGAAGGGCTTCTTCTTCAGTGGTGGAGACTCAGGCAGGCTGTATACAGACTACTGCCAGCTGCGCCCTCTCTGTTGGACTTTGGTACTGCATGTTACTTCTGCGATTTAGATCCGGGGCTTATCATGAAAGATCCGGGGCTTCAGCCCAAGTAGCCGGGCCTAACGCCGCCCCTGGATTGAGCCACATCTGGGTTGTTTTAACCAATTAGAGTTTGGGTTCTCAATTTGATCAGTTCAAAGTTTGCATTAAAGAAAACAAAGTCATAACTTTTCAGAAAGACTTACTATCTTAAAGGTAGCCTGTCAAGTCAGTCTATATAGGTGAATATATAGTCATGGCCACAGTCGTTAACGGCTCTCAGTCAGGGTGGAATACGTTTGTCTTTCAAACAGACTCTGCATGCAGCAACGTGATGTACTCACCTCGACAAATGTCAGTCAAGGAGACAGTCCACCATACATCGTGGAAGAAGCATGGAGGAAGATGAAAATACATAGTTTTTCTAAATTAACGCACCATGACCGGCCAGCCTCAATACTGGCCAGGGCTGTGGAGGGTCCAATGGCGGGTTGCTACACCGACACACAAATAATTTTTTCTTCTTCTGCAAATGACCGTCTAGATTTTATGCCAGTCTTGAAGTAATGGTATTAAAACATATATAATAAAAGTACTTAAAAATAATCTGCACCAATTCTGTTCTTGAAGGCTGATACGCACATCAGATTTTTGGACAGCTTCAACTTGTTGTTGTCAGTTTTAGTGATTTTTTCCCCTTTATTTTATTTTAATATTTGAGGGATTCAGATTTCTTGCAAAAAAGTATACTTACCAGATTACCTTTTACATTTATTGCAACTAGTTTATTTATATGGAGCCATATCATCACAAGCGTGGTCTCAAGGCACTTCTCAAAGTAAAACGTTCCAACTGAATTCAGTTTATTCCAATTAGATAAAAGTTTCTCATATAATGAACTCGGCATATTGCTGCTGCTTGTATTTACAGCAACCCTCCTTATTTTGAATTTGGATTTTTTTTGTTCTTGCGTATAGTGCCTTGTGATTTTTATTTTGAGAGGCGATATATGAAAGATAATTTTCTTTCTTCTTTCATCCTGCAAGCATAGTGACAGTATAGAGAGGACAACTCCCTTTTACCAGGAAGAAACCACCAGAAGAACAGTATGAGCAGCCATCTGGAAGTTTGAGACGACAGAGCCGATTCAATTATTGATTAACTCAAAAACAGTAATTGTGGAAGTAAGAACCTCTACATGTAAGATCTGTTGATGGTGTGATGAGTTCACAAACCAGGAAGAAATAAAGGTGCTGGCAATGGTGCATTCATGATCCAAACAATATTTTGAAGTTTCACATTGTGTGACCAAATATTTGCTGATTCCATCACCAAATATATTTTACTAAAAAAAACAGTTCAATTTTTTCTCAAAAATTGAATAAAAAAATTACTGTAGCTACAGTTTTAAATTCTTTATTTTTAATCATTTATTTTTATTATTATTATTATTATTATTATTATTATTATTATTATTATTATTATGCTTACATGGTTGATTTTGGTCATTAACAGCAAATTCTAGATAAAATAATCAATTTTAAATCGCAGTTTGCAGCCTTTGTACCTTTTATTTTACGCAACACAACCATCGTCATGCCTCCAGCCTCTCCAGGTGAGTATTTTCATTTATTTTCTCAAAAAATATCTACAGGAAGCCTCTCCACTGCCTGCGCTCTGCTCCTACAACACGCTTCCTGATAGGTTTCCCGCGGCTTGGCGCTGCGCCAGGACGCACGGCACGGGGACCCGGCGCGCGGGACACTTTTTGCAGCGTGCGGGCTATAAGGAGAGGGGAGTGGCGCTCTGGTCAACAGAGAAGAGAGGAGAGAGACTCCACACGCAGACTGTAGCACGGCAGCGCCCGGAATAAGGCGATTAGCGCACTATTAGTTCCGCTCCCGAGCTCAACTAGATGCAGCGCAGAGATCATTGAGGGGAGAGGAGAGAGAGCTCGGATGGAGAGGACGCGTTATGCGCCACATGGATCGGCTTTGCTTCTTATTGATTTGCCTAGATAAGTTACCTACTCTTAGTTTTTTGGCTGCCGGACATCTCAGACACTCCGCAGCTCATCTCTATCTCAGGTAAGATTATCATCTCTCCATGTTTACTCGGTTTTAGTCAGCTCCAGGTCCCAACCTATGATCTGAGTTAATTACATTAGTAAGAATCTAAGAAATGTGTTCAAATCTATTGAAAGTGTGTATACTTTCCCTTTCTCGCCACATTTTCAGATCAAGGAGCATTCTTATAAACAAATAAGGGGTTTTCCTAGAGGAGGGACGCACAATGAAGAGGAAATATCTGGGAACGTCTCAGAGGAGCGATCCAGTCCCTTCCTTTCTCAGCCCCGCTGTGAGCTGCTAGTGCTGTTCTTCCTGGTGGATTGTATCTGTTCACCTCAGGTGAACTCCCTAAAGGAAGTGCTGCCATGGAGTTTGACAATGAGACCAGCCAGAACATTTCCAGCATGGACGCGTACGGGCTCCAGGTGGCCCTGCCCCTCAGCGTGCTGGTGGGCTTCATGATCCTGTTGATAGTATTTGGTAATGTGCTGGTGGTCATAGCCGTGTTTACAAGCCGAGCCTTGAGAGCTCCACAGAACTTATTTTTGGTCTCTCTGGCGTCGGCAGACATTTTGGTCGCGACCCTTGTGATGCCCTTCTCCTTGGCCAATGAGCTCATGGGATACTGGTACTTTGGGGAGGTCTGGTGTGAGATCTATCTTGCACTCGATGTGCTTTTCTGTACTGCCTCCATTGCCCATCTGTGTGCTATCAGCTTAGACCGCTACTGGTCCATCACGCAGGCCATCGAGTACAACCTGAAGAGGACTCCACGCCGAATCAAGTGCATCATTTTCATCGTGTGGGTCATTGCTGCAGTCATCTCCTTCCCGCCTCTGATCACCATGGAGAAAGAGAACAGTGAGAAAACTCCAGTGTGTAAAATCAACAACGACAAATGGTACGTGGTCTCCTCCTGCATCGGCTCCTTCTTCTTGCCATGTGTCATCATGGTGCTGGTCTACATACGAATCTACCAAATCGCCAAAAAACGGACGCGGGCGCCACCAGGAGACCGGAAGTGGAATGATTTGTCCAAGCCTGTAAACATCTCTGCAGCCAACCTGAAGGAGAACGGCGTGGATGATGATGCCAAGCATCACCTCTGCCGCAAGAAGCTCAGTGATGAACAGGACATTGAGCTGAAGGAGGGGGTCAGAGACGAAGGGGGAGCTGGAGGAGAGGTCAACGGGGTGGACCTGGAGGAGTCCTCCTCCTCTGACCACAAGGTGAACAATCCGTGCTCCATTAAAAAAAAATCTAATAAGGGGAAACCCAGACTCAGCCAGATCAAACCGGGGGACGCTAGCATCCAAAAGCAGGTGCAGAGCAACAAGGGCAGCCGTTGGAAGGGCCGGCAGAACCGGGAGAAACGTTTCACCTTTGTGCTGGCGGTGGTCATCGGAGTCTTTGTCGTATGCTGGTTTCCCTTTTTCTTTACATACATGCTGATGACGCTTTGTGAGTCGTGCGCCGTGCCGCTCACCCTGTTCAAGTTCTTCTTCTGGTTTGGCTACTGCAACAGTGCCCTGAACCCCCTCATCTACACTATCTTCAACAACGACTTCAGAAGATCGTTCAAAAAGATTCTGTGCAGGACGGACACCAGGAGAAACGTATGACTCCACATACTAATATGTATTTTTTTAATAATATTGTGCATACATAGTGAAACATTTTGCTCATTGTGCATGAACAGAACATTTGTGAACATTTTTTGTGCAGCTGCACCGGAGTGGCTCTGTGTACAGCATCTCCACCAGCCACAGCTTCAACACAGGTGGAGACCACAGAACACCACAGTCAGAACACATTTTTATTGTAACTGCTGTTCTTATTTTTTTGGTCACATCAACAGGAAAACAGTGAAATCCAAGACATGTATTAAATTTATATGTTGTGTAAAATGACCCGTCTGAGTAATTGTCTGTTTTATGGATGCAGTGTTGTTTCTTTTTGTATGATGTGATGATAATGATGCACAAAACGATGATGAAATGTGACAAAAATGCATATTACTAAAAATAAATAAAGCCCTTTTTTAATGGATCCAAGAATCTATAGGAGGATGCTTTTATCTGGGTTTGAATGGTACACTTTGGATAAATACTTTAAGGGTCCAAGAAAATTAAGGAATTTATTGTGATCCAACAGGCTTTGAACAGAACACCTAAAAGCAAAAATTGAAAGTTTACTCATCTTTTAGGAGAACACACTGTAAAAAATTAATGTTGAGTTGACTTAACCAAGATATGTCAACAGGTGCTGCTAAACTTAGTTGCTTAAATGTAAAAAGTAATATACATATTTATATGGTCTATAAAGAGAAAATCTATATATTTTTTTACATTTTAGCAACTAGTTGGAACCAGTTGACCCAACCTGGTTAAAGCTCTAATTCACTTGTTTATTCAATACTTTTGCTGTGGTCTCTTAGCCTGGCAAGCCAGACTAAATAAATGTATTATTTGCAAAGCAAGAATTTGGTCTAGTTCACTAGGCTTGTGGTCTCTAGTATGAATCAATGCCTTTTCAGTCTTTCTCTGTGGGGAAAACAGCTCTTGTGCTCCTGTTTCAGGAAGTGGAAGTTAGTCGTAGGAGTGGGGGCAAGAAAACAACAGGATTTGGAGGATTGCTCATTATTAATCATGATGTTTGAAATCTCGCTTCTGACTGGCTAACAACAAACAAACTCTAGCAATGACTCCATCTGCTCCGCCCCGTTGATGTTTAATCTCCACAAATAACACACGCCTGGGGGAGTTCTGCCGTGTTGTGGAGTTGTTAATGCTAACGGTTAGCTTCTGCTGGCAAAAATCAACACAGCTTTCTGCGGTCACAAGCCAAGAGGGCAAGTCCATGAATGCTAATTTACAGTGTGATGTAGATCTGAGTGGCTTTTTTAACCAAAGTGATTCTTCATCTATTTTTTATCAATGGCTAATGCAGGAAACAGGTAGAAAACTATTTTCACGTTCAGCATTCATGTTAAACTCTGAGGACTGATTGTATTTCATAAATAAGTAAAACTGTTTCTCAGTGAACTTGATCTTTGAGTAAATTCAACATTTTCTTTTTTTTAAGTTTAAAGGTGTGGAACACTGAAAATCCTTTTTTTGTGATTATTTCTGATTATAGTGGGTCACTCTGAGTTTTTCATGCAGACTAAACATGAAAATAGTCTCCCACACCTATCTCCTGCATGAGCTTCTGATAGAAAATAGACGGGGGAACTCTAGGATTTGTCACACTGTCACTTAAAATGGACTTATCCATCTTGACTCACAGTGGGGAAGGTTGTTGTTTTAACATCTAGGAAACAGCAGACAACGTCTCAACTAGTAGAAGCTAACATTAGCATTAGCAACTGCACCATGCAGCAGAAGATCCTTTAGGCTTGAGTTACCCTGCAAACAGCCAACGACGCATGGACGTGCAGATCATGTCTACATTGATTCCATCGGTCCAGACCACGTCTGTAGGACGTCTAAACTAGGTCTTTGCACAGTATTTGTGGAGATAAAACATCAACGATGCATTCAGTGGTAGAGTCACATTGCTGTTATCCAATCCAAGGTGAGATGTCCAAATATCAGGAAATAAGACTCAAAATCCTGTCGAGTTCAGTTATTCTCTGATGTTGTAATCTGCTAATCAAGCGTATCTGCCCCCCCCCCCCCCCCCCAAATAAGGTTTTCAAGGCATCCATTCCTACTAGGAACCACTGCAATTGTACTGATAGAATGAGTGTCCGACTCCTTTAATGACAAACTAAACATCTCAGTGAACATAAAAAAGCACATGCTGATGTTTTGGTTCCTGGAGTAATCATGTTTGTCTAATATGTCAAAATGCTTCAATTAAATCAGATTGAACATTTTTTTTCTGCTTCTGCCTCAGATTTAGGCACTTTGTAAATCAGCTGTGATGATGTAAATGGAGTTGAAGGTTCATTTGTCATTTTGTGTTCAGCATCATTAAGTAAACCGAGAGCAGAACCTGAGTGACTGGTCATGTCCATTTTCAATATGTTTCCTGAATGTCGTTCCGGGTGGAGAATGAGCCAATATGAGAAAAAAGAGCAACCATTCATACAAATAAACACATTTTTTCCTGCAGAGGAAGTGTATGCAAATGGATTCCTTCTGACAGTCAGTGAGGAAGCTAAAGAGCATCGACCTCGCAAAACTAAATGGTCCCTGTGGGAGTTTCCCTCTGATCCTGATGAGCCAGATGTACACAGACACAGAGCTGGAGTAGTAGCTCCTCTGCACATTTGTATAGCGTGTGTAGTGTGGGAGTAAGTGTGAGATAATTCCATTATGTGGCAATTTTTTACGGGAAACGTTGGGATATTTTTATCGATAAGTGGAGAAAAGAAAAAAAGAGGAGAGTAAAACCACAACAAGAATATTCCGTATTTCAGGAACTCTTCTTCATCTCAGTTTGGAGCAAAACTCTAAAAGATCAGAAAATTCATCTGTAAATGTTCCTAGATGTTATTTTCCTGAGATGTGAATCAAAGCTGGTCCTTTGTGTGTGTGAAGACGTGCCATTTGTGTGATTCAGCAGGATTTAATCTGGAGCCTGCATGTGCTCGGAACATAGAAGGAAAATTCCCACAGTGGGAACGTTTGGATACATTACAGGGTTTCACAATTCACACTTACTAAGATATTTAAGTTTTAAATATTTAAGTTACTGTTATGCTTTCCAGTTTAAGACTTGAAGCCAAACTTTGTAAGATCGCCACATTTAGAAGCAGGTTGTTTTTTTTTTTTGTCCAACTATTTGGGGATTTTTCACTCTGTCTTCCTGAAAAAGCTTTTAACTTTGAGAGATTTTTGGACCAAGCATGCTTTGCTCTATAAAGTCCATCGACACGTTTCTCCTCTTTTAAGGCATGTAGCTCATTTTGACTATGGAGGTGTTTTTAGGTTCATTATCCCGTTATGCCAGGCTCTTTATATCCAGCTTTTTTAACAGACTGGCAGCCTTTTCCAGATTCCTCCTTATCTTTCTGAAACATGTTTCTTCTGCTCGCAAGACCAAATGTGTGCCGCTCGGAGGAGTTTTTACATAAAACATTTTCCTCAATAGATACCTTTGCTCTATGCAGATGCAAATGAATGTTTTGAACCAGCTGGACTTGTTTTAACCCATGACTTATTCATAAAGGTCGTATTTGTGCAGGTGTGGCTGCAAACTCAAAGAGAGCACCTAGAATAATTCCTTTTTGCAGTTAATCCTAATTTGCCTTTTTTAGAAATACTAAAGAAGCCTTTCTCTGTCTGTTTTCATGGTCTTGACCGTCTTGACCTTCACTGTGCTCGAACTGAGTAAATGAATATCCCCCTGAAAAACAAGTTACATTCCTCCTGCAGCCTTCAGCTGCTTTCTGAGCGTCAGGGTCTTTACATTTTTAAAAAGGGTCTTTTGAAAACTTGAATCCCCTGAGCTTCCCTGATAAGGACTGTGAATAAGTGTAGGGCCAAACAATAACGAAGGAACTTTATTAATGAGATCAGTTGTTTTGTCATGTTCTGTTATACAAAACATAAGGAAAGGCAAGGCAGCTTTTATTATATAGCACATTTCATACACACAGGCAATTCAATGTGCTTTCCATGAGCAAGAACATTAAAATCAACGTGACAGAAAAATTATATTTAAAAATTAAAAAGAAACAAAGTTATAGGGTGAGCAGTTATAGCGCAGAAGAACATTTATTCAAAGGCTGATGAAAACATGATAGTTTTCAACTTTGATTTAAAAGTTTCTAGATTTGGGGCACATTTGAGGTAATGAGGAAGCTGATTCCGTATGTGAGCAGCATAGCTAAAAGCAGTTTCACCCTCTTTGGTTCTGACCTGAGGTTCTACCAGCTGACTGCTTCCTAAGGCTCTCAGAGCCCTGGCGTAGTTACCTGAAGGAGATCTGATATGTATTTTGGCCCCATGCTATTGAGTGATTCATAAACTAGTAGAAGTACTTTGAAACTGACTCTGTAGTTTACTGGTTACCAGTGTAGAGATTTAAGAACAGGAGTGATGTGCTCGGTTCTCTTGGTTTTTGTTCAGACTCTAGCAGCAGCATTCTGAATAAGCTGCAGTAGCTTCACAGTTTCTTTGGGAAAACCAGTCAAAAGACCATTGTAATAGTCCCGCCTGCTGGAGATGAACACATGAATGAGTTTCTCTATGATTAAGGTCTCTAGACCCCTGAGTCATCAAAGTCACCATTTTCATTTTAAAACTGTATTGGATTTTCTTTAATCATAGAGCTGAAAAGAATTTCTAACTTAAAAAAGTAATAAAATAAATAACAAAATTAAATCCCCAAAGCACACCCCCCACAATTTTTTTAATTTAAAAACTATCTCAGAAAATGAAATAATAAGAAGAAATTATATAATGCCTCTCATGATAAAAACCACAAGGCGCTTCACAAGAACAAAAATAAAATATGATTTAAAAAGGATGATTAAAAGTATCCTAATAAAAAAATTGGGAAAATGGAAAATCTAAATAAAAGAAAGAAGGGAGAATTGAAATTAAAAGAAAAAGTAATAGCTATAGGAAACAGTAAAACGTGAAAATTAGGGCTGGGACTTGATTAAAAAATGTAATCTAATTAATTAGAGGCTTTCTAATTAATTAATCTAAATTAATCACATTTTAATCGTTCAGGAAAATGTGCTCTCAAAGTAAAACTTTTAATTAAAATTATGAGACAGAGAATCAACATTAGACATGGTTATTACTGTAAACTAAAGCTTTTAATAAAAAAATGCATTTTAATTATTCAAATGTCACTGTGTGATATGAAACAAAACCCAAACCAACGAAAATTTATAATTACAAATAGAAAACATCTGCAAAGGGTTCCTGGGCCTTTAAATAGTCTCTCTGTCTAGTTGAATGACTGAAATAAATGTGACTTTTCACCAGATTCTAATTTTTCCAGTTTCACTTGTTTGTATAATTGGGAGTTTTTATTAGCATTTCTACTCATAATGTAGTAAAAACACATAAATAATAATCCTTCAA